AGTAAACCAGCGAGTGCACAGGTTCCCTTGACCAGCTGGCCAGGGAGCAAGAGACTGGCTGTCACCCCCGACCAGGTCAATCCTGAGGTCAATCCTGAAGGAAGGGGAGGAGGAGGAGGAGCCTAACTGGTGGTGCCCTGGGAAGGATAGGACGTGAAAGAACACTAACTCATCAGCTTCCAGGAGGTGTCATTTCTTTCCCTGAGATACTAACTTGAGGGTGAGCTGGGGGAGTGGGCTGGTGCCAGACAAGCCGACTTGGTCTCCTCCTTGATCTCACTGTGTTACAAGCGCCTCCCAGGAAGCCACCTGGATTTAAGAATAAACTGCAGATGTAAGGCCAGTGCTAAAATGAGCAGTGTTTACCGAGTGCCTGCTGTGAGGCCGGTACCGCTGGCCAGTGAGGAAGAAGGGGGTCTATGGACACAATCACGTGGATAAATTAATTGAGAAAAACATAATTTATAGAGCAGTGTCTATAGAATGATCCCATTTTATTTGTATACTAGAGGCCCGATGCACGAAATTCCCGCTGGCACCCGGGACCCAGGCTTCCCTCACAGCCCCGGCTTCGTCCAGTAGGTCGTCTGGAAGGACATCTGGTCTAATTGGCATATTACACTTTTATTATTATAGATTCTGTGCTGAAATTTTTGAGTATTATGAAATATTTGAAAAATAAGTCTAAGAATAAAAACACACTGTATAATGCAGTTAACGCGTAACGAAGCTGAGAGCTGGAGTGATTGGGAGGAGGAGAATGCCGGTGCATGTGCCCCTCCCTGGTGCATGTGCACAGAGAACCACCGGCTCACGGCAGCCGTGGGGAGCAGGGGGCAGGGAGAGTGAAGGGGTGTTTTCTGAACTTCCATTTCCGTACTCTGAATGTTTAATGACTATCTGTGCACTTTTTAATATAAAAAAAGAATAGGCAGTTGATGAGTCAGGAAGGCCCTTGGAGTGGGATGACCAGGGAGACCTCGGGAGCAGAGTGTGGCTTGAGCTGAATCAGAAGGAAAGCGGGTTCCGCAGCGGGACCGCTGGAGGCCCAGCTCCAGAGCACCAGCCGGGCGGGGGCGGGACGGGCTGAGGCGGGGACGGGTGGCGGGTCCCTGTTGAGGAGCACCTGCAAGGTTTGGTCTTGTTCATTATTGACAGCATCTACTTTTTCTCCCGCCTCAAATCCTAGGTGTCACCATTAAATTTGGCAAGTTTTCTGCGAAGGAAAATGAGCAGTTAGAGAAAAACGTGCAAGAATTTCTGTCCCTGACAGGAATCGAGAATGCGGACAAGCTGCTGTACACGGACAGGTACCCGGAGGAGAAAGCCGCCATCACCAACCTAAAGAGGAAGTACGCCTTTCGGTTGCACATCGGTGAGTTCAGGTGCTTGCTCTGCCCGCCCTCGGCCTCCCACCGCGTGCGGTGACCCCTGGGAGCACTCAGCGCAGCCGGAGGGACCCGGGTCTCAGTGGCAGCCTGTTGGGGTCAGGAATGTGCTCGTGCCTAGTAGGCACACTGCTTCACAGATTCTAGGAAGAATGAACTGGTAACTTCTAGCTTTCCTACTGGGTAAGAATTACCGTTTGGGCTTCTCTTCCTGTTCTTTGCGGCGTATGTTTTGCATTTGCTGCACCAGCACCTCCTGTAGGCAGCAGGGTCTCCTGAGCATTTTAAGTGCAGCCGGGACCCCTCCTGGAGGTGACGCTTGGAAATCAAGGCCATGGAGCCGTAAGCATTGGCCTGAAAACCTCTCTCAAATTTAAAGAAGCTGATTTCTGAGGTTTTTGCTGGGATGTGCCCAGGAACGCGGCCGAGCGAGCCCTGTGGAGGGCAGTTCCATCTGCACGGGAGCGAGGCGGGCTTGTTCGTTGGAGAGTTCTTACGGAGAACTGTTGGCATGTGTCCCCCTCTAGCCTCCCTCTAATTCACATCATGTGAGCATTACTTTGCCTGTGAGGGTCTTTTCCGAGAGTTGGGGAGACCAGAGCTGGAGCCACATACAAAGTGTCCAGTTTTCAGAGATCTCCAAGGCAACGGGGGATTGTGTACATCCGCTTCCCAAGACAGCTTCCCGCAGGCCCCGGCATCCCAGCCTTGCCCAGGTCTAGGATAGTTAGTGGTGAAAGTCCTATTCGGGGCCCCTTTACCACTGTGACCACCTCATGCCACACCGTGAGCCCGCTGACCGCCTTCCTCTGCCTTAGGGAAGGGCATCGCCCGGCCCTGGAAGCTCGTGTACTACCGAGCGAAGAAGATGTTTGACGTCAATAACTACAAAGGCAGGTAAGACAGCGTCGGCGGCTGGACACAGAACGTCTCTCTGGTCTTTGCTGACACTCACACCAGGTCAGAAGTCAGGCCTGCAGATCTGTGTGAAAGCAGGCGTGCACCCGCGGTCAGGTGATGTCTTCATTTCCATTTCCAACTCGAACCTGTGTGGTCTCCCCTCTATATCTTCTGCTTTTTCTTTCTTTTTTAAAAAAATTTTTTTTTATTGATTTCAGAGAGGAAGGGAGAAGTAGAGAGAAACATCAGTGATGAGAATCATTGATCGGCTGCCTCTTGCATGCCACCTACTGGGGATCGAGCCCACAACACCCTGACCAGGGATCGTACCATGACCGCCTGGTTCATAGGTCGATGTTCAACCACTGAACCACACTAGCCAGGCCTCCGCTTTTTCTTTACACTCTCATTCCCGCACTCGCTGTGCTCTGGATCTCTGCTTTGCTCACTGTAAGCTCTTTGCTCACTGTAAGCTCCATGTGAACCCCAACGTTCCTCCTCAGTGCAGCGCTCCCCGAGCACCTAGCCCCGTTCTTGGGTCGCAGTAGATATTGGAAGGTGAATTGCGCCTAACTACAGAGTAAATTTTAAAATGAAAATAAAATTGTGGCCCTAACTGGTTTAGCTCAGTGGATAGAGCGTTGGCCTGCGGACTGAAGGGTCCCAGGTTCAATTCCGGTCAAGGGCGTGTACTTTGGTTGCAGGCACATCCCCAGTAGGGGGTGTGCAGGAAGCAGCTGATCGATGTTTCTCTCTTATCGATGTTTCTGGCTCTCTATCCCTCTCCCTTCCTCTCTGTAAAAAAATCAATAAAATATATTAAAAAAAAAAAAAAAAGAAAAGAAAAGAAAATTGTGACATGTTCCCTTCGTCGTAGGTACAGCAACGGGGATGCGGAGAAGTTGAAGATGTACCATTCCCTCCACGGCAACGACTGGAAGAAGATCGGGGGTTTGGTGGCTCGAAGCAGCCTCTCCGTCGCCCTGAAGTTCTCCCAGATCAGCTGCGGTGAGTGTGGGCTCTGCCGCCCGGTGAGCTCGCCCGGGGAGCGGGAGCCGGCGCGCAGGGAGATTGGCGCCGTCTGAGAGAGCATTGACTTTCTTTTTTTTTTTTAAATATTTACCTATAGAAAGAAACCATGGTGCTTGGAGTAAGACGGAAACCCAGAGACTAATCAAAGCCGTTGAAGAAGTGATTCTAAAGACAATGTCTCCCCAGGACTTAGAAGAGGTAGATTCTAGGCTCCAAGAAAACCCCGAAGGCTGCCTGTCGATTGTTCGGGAAAAACTCTACAAGGGCATATCTTGGGTAGAAGTCGAAGCTAAAGTCGAAACCAGAAATTGGATGCAGTGTAAAAGTAAGTGGTAAGTTTTAAGGCTTCTTATGCAAATTGCAACAAGACATGCTCTGTCTCCCCCCACTCCCCCCCATTCCCGGAGGCTGGGTGGATTGGTGAGGTTATAAGAATACATGGTGGCACCAGGTGGAAAGCCTTCCATGTTGAGAATTGCTGTCCCTTGTTCGCTGCTGCAGCCCCTCAGTGCCGGCATCTGGTATTAGGCAGCGCTGGACCGGCCCGGTTCACTGTCCGTCTTCCTCACAAGGCACTTGAAGCTGTTTGGTGCTGAATATTGACTTCTGATTTCTTCAGTCTGCCCCTTTCTAAGTTCCCTTTCTAAGTCCTGAGTAACAAGGTAGTTTTCTGTTTGTAGCATTAAAAAAAAAATAAGGGGGCAGGAGGAGTGAGGGGGTCAGTGGGGAAACAAGGGGGCATCTGTAATACTTTCAACAGTAAAGGTACATTTAAAAAAGAGCTAAATGAGCATAATGCTTGAAAAAAAACTAAAACTGACATTCAGAGGAGAAATCACAAACAGCACTCAGTAGAGCTCTGCCTTTTAAATTGTGCGGTTCACCTGCCTTCACCCAGAGTGAGCAGTCCGACCTCCGTCTTAGAACTTCTTCATCACCTGGGATGTATATCCTCAGTCCTGGTTGCTCTGTGCGCTCTGCCTCGTGCAGCTTTCCCCGCCCTGAGGGTCTCCGAGCCCGCCCTCCAGCGGGGCCTGGCAGCTCAGGCGTCCTGACTGTCAGATGAGAAGGAAACCCCGAGCAGGCGCGTTTTATGCTAAAAGTAAACTCTTAGATGATACTGTTTATTGCCTATGCACCTTACATTGTGTTGCAGAGTTATTTTAACAGAGGACTACGCTCAGGGAAATACACTCCAAAGAACAGATAATGTTGGGGAGAGAGAGTGTAAGATGGGGAACCAGAGCCCTTCCCACCCAGCATTTTAGATTGAGAAAAGGATGGGGGATGAGCCTCCATTGGAGGGTGACGATCGGTGTTAAACAAGGGGAGCACCTTCAGAATCAGCGTGATTAAATAACGTGCAAGACTTGCTTTGCTTCTCAATTTGAAGGAAAAGCACTTGTAGCCTGAACACACCTTTACTTCATGTAACATTGACATGCCCTCAAGAGACACATTTCAAACCAGTGTACGTGGATGGCTGTTGGTAAGCACATGGTGCCATTACCACATCTCTCCCTTAGCAAGGAGGTGAATGGAATGGCTACTGATATGTCCATCAGATGGTGACAAGTTGTGCTGTGCAAGACAAGGACTTTTTAAATATTTTAAATTGGGTTGCTCCTCTCATTAGCAACTTCACCCTTTCCTTCAGCCGTTAGCTCTGGGCCTTAGAGGACCATCAGATCATTCATCACTTTGCTAAATTTGTCTCGGTTGGTTTTCCAGCAGCTGCTCACAGTAGAAGAGTAATGTCCGTCTGTTCATGAGCAACTAAACTAAAGCGGGTGCCACAGCGCCCTCTGGCAGCTGCTGAAAGGCCTGCTTCCCCCTTTTAAACTTGTTTATTATGGAAATTTTCTAACACGTGGATGGTGGCAGATGTGGGCAGGGAGGAGTTGCGGGAGTTGGAGAGTGGTTCTGAGGAGGGGGTTAGATGAGAAGACAGGGAACTTGAATGGAAACTGCACCTCTGGCAGTGAACTATACTGCTCTTTCTTTGAATGCAGGACGGAGATTCTCACCAAGAGGATGACGAATGGCCGGGACGTGTACCGTGGGGTGAACGCCCTCCAGGCCAAAATCAACCTGATTGAGAGGTACGGCCCGAGTGGCCCCGCCGTTACCACTGCCCTGGCACGGAGAACAGCAGTGAGCTTGAAAACTGAATTTTTATGTTTTCTCATAGGTTGTATGAAATAAACGTGGAAGATGCTAATGAAATAGACTGGGAAGATCTTGCTGGTACCATAGGGTAAGACCATCCAATATAATAAAAGGCTAATATGCAAATCGACTGAAAGGTGGAACAACCAGTTGCTATGACGCGCACTGACCACCAGGGGGTAGACGCTCAATGCAGGAGCTGCCCCCTGGTGGTCAGTGTGCTCCCACAGAGGGTACGCTGCTCAACCAGAAGCCCTGAGCTGGGCTCAAAGCGGCGGTGGCAGGAGCCTCTCACACCTCTGCGGCATCACTAAGGATGTCCAACTGCCGGCTTAGGCCTCCCTGGACATCCCCCGAGGGCTCACGGACTGTGAGAGGGCACAGTCCGGGCTGAGGGTCCCCCCCACCCCCAAGTGCACGAATTTCGTACACTGGGCCTCTAGTCTGTTTAATATTAAGCTATTTAAAAGATAAGAGGTGACTTTAAGAAATGACTCTCAGATTTTAATAGTCATGCTGCATGTGGATTTTACCTACAAGTTGTTTTATGTGTATGTATTTAGATCCCCCACTCCACCCCACCTAAGACACCTAAGCAGGGTGAATGAAATACGTTCCAAGTCCCTCTGGGCAAAGCAAATTGTTGAGAATGGTGGGGTGCAGGTGTTGTGGGCTTTGGAAGTGGGCGTTGAGGGATTGTAAGTAAGACGGGGAACCAGAGCCCTTCCCACCCAGCATTTGGAAGGTGGAGAGGAGCAAGGCCCGGCAGCCTGGCTGACTTTCAGGAGCGTGGCTGCAGGTGGGACGTTGCCGTCAATCAGGAAGGGTTTAAACAGGTTCGGTGGGTAGTTTCTTACACCTTGGGATGTGGCCAAAGAAAAATCCCCCTTTTTTTAAGCTGGGAGAACTGGAGTCTTTTAGTGACAGGCCCTGCTGGGAGTCACAGAGACATGCCCATGCTTCCAAACGCTTTCCTTTGCTAGCTGTCCTGAGGGGTGGGCACACCCTTCAGTATCGTGGGTCCCTGAGAGGGGATGGTGTCGGGTGCTTAGAAGGAAGGGACCCTGCCTTGCACCCCACCAACTTCCATCCTGAGGGCTATGTCCACAAAGCCCACCCTTCCTATTATCAAATTTTTTTGTTGTTGTTAATCCTCACCCAAGGATATCGATTTCTAGAGAGAGTGGAAGGGAGAGGGAGAGACAGAGAGAAACATAGATTGGTTGTCTCCTGCATACACCCCACCAGGGCCCGGGAAGCTGCAACCAAAATACATGCCCTTGACCAGAATCGAACCTGGGACCCAATCATCGTTTGCCTCTACATACTTAACAGATAAAATTATCACGCTAACCATCTTAACTGCTAGATTAATTATTGAAGCAAATAAGTCACACTTTTATTGTTTAAGGCAAATTGTCCAGGAAGTGAAGTTAGTGATTTTCACTTTAGAAACTAAGATTTGGTTGTTTCGTTCTTACTTGCTATAAAGTGCAAGTGTATGAGTCACCAAGACATCATCAGCATCTGCTTCCTTTAGCTCCGCAAAATAAAAATCAGGGCCCTGTGCCTCCCAGTGGTGACCAGTATGTACCCTAAGCGTAATGGGGAAGAGGGCAGAGTTTGGAGTCAATCACCCAAGTGTCCCCGCTCTCCCTTTATTACTGTGAGACCTCGGACTTCTCTATGCCTCAGTTTCCCCGTCTCTAAAATGAGGAAGAGCAGTGGCTCCCTGGTCGAGCGGCTGTGAGGCTTGTTGGTTGCTACGTGGGAAGTGCTGAGGGCAGGGCCAAGTCCAAGGTGCAGCTCGTGTTACATTTTGTCTTCCCTGCTGGTATCTTAGATTATTCCAGATAAACAGAACCCATCTTGCTATACTGCTGGCTTTCTTCCTTCCGTGTGTGTTTAACCAGGGACCATGGCTTTCCGTGTGTCTTACTTGTACCACTGTTGTGGCCATGATGACTTCACGCTCAAGGGGAGGGAAGCTCAGGGCTAGGCCTCCCCTCAGTCACTGTGCTGTTAGTTCTCAGCTGAAATGATCAGGTTTTAGACTGACACTGACCTTTCACCTTTCCTTCCTAAAGCGATGTCCCTCCGTCTTACGTTCAGGCTAAGTTTTATAAGCTGAAAGCCACCTGTGTGCCCTCCTGGCAGAGGAAGACTTTCCCAGGTCAGTATGTGCAGTGTGTGAGTTGAGAGCAGTGTGTGGTGCCGCGTGCTGGGCGTGCCCCTGGGCAGCGACTTCGCTCTGAGAGCCTCAGCTTCAGCTGTAAAATGGAGAAAGTTAGCGTCATCATCCCTATCCGACAGGACCTCCTGCAGGGCTGAGTCAGATAGCGACCCTGTCCATGTCAGCAGGGTGCTCGGGCTTCGCGAGCACTCAGTGAATGCTCGAGAGGGTTCCTGGGTTGCCATCACGTGCACACATGCACACACACCACGTGCACACACTCACACCACATGCGTGCACATACACTTCTAGGAAAAAGGTAAGATGCCACTTCCTTCTTTGCAGCCATCTGTGGGCGGATAGATATGTGGTTCCCAGACCCAGGCCACCAGAGTCATGTGAGGAGCTCGTTCAGAGTGTAAGAGCGGCCCCATCCAGACATCCAGGACGCTCATCCCAGGCGCTCGGGGCTGGATTTTCCCGTCAGGCTTGCAGGAGCGTCTCAAGTGGCCTCCCGGCCCGTGTCTGGAAACCACTGGCTCAGGCGCTCCTCTGCCTGGGAGTGTGAGGAACTGTGTGCATTCAGCAGACACCATCCCCTGGGTTGAACCCTAGCCTCGTCCCAACTTGATTCCATGACGTTGGGGAAGTTTCATGACGTTTCAGGAGCCTGGGTCTCCTCATTTGAGAAACAAATAGCAGCCCTAGCCAGTTTGGCTCAGTGGATAGAGCGTCGGCCTGTGGACTGAAGGGTCCCATGTTCGATTCTGGCCAAGGGCACTTACCTGGGTTGTGGGCTCGATCCCCATAGGGACGTGCAGGAGGCAGCTGATCAATGATTCTCTCTCATCATTGATGTTTCTATCTCTCTCTCCCTCTTCCTCCTCTTTGAAATCAATAAAGAAATATATTAAAAACATACAAAAGATACAATTCCCTTTAAGAAAAGAGGGAGAGAGAGAGAGAGAGAGAGAGAGAGAGAGAGAAACAAATAGCAGTGCCTGCCTCCGAGGAGTGTTGAGAGGGGTGAGTGAGCGAATGTGAGCAAACCAGTGAGAACAGAGTCTTGCACGTGAGAGCAGCCGGAGCAGGCGTGTCAGCAACGCCCTCTGACCCTTGACCTTGGGAAGAGGCTTTGCACAAATCACTTCAAAGTTCCACCTTTCTCTTTAGAGATTATAGACCACCTTTATGAGACGAGTCTGCCTTTGCTCAAAGAGAAGCTAAAGAAGAAGGTGGAGAAAAGAGGCGCTGCGCCCCCTCCCGCAGCGCCCCGCCGTGTCTTCCTGTTCAGGGACATCTTCCACTGCGACGACGACAGTGAGGATGACGACGGTGGAGGCGGGCAGAGTTAGGAGATGGCATCCTTCTCGTGCGGTTTCTGGGTTTGGCTGTGTACATAGGAGTGTCAGTAGCTGCTGTCAGGCCGGGGGCTGGCATCAGACGCCGTGGCCACAGGCTGGTGTGAGAGTGACGACCTTGCTGTGGCGCATTGAGGACGGACTGGCATTGTCCGATGCGATCGTTTCAATGTGAAAAGCAGGAGGAACATGTGAGTTGATTTAACATGTCTGTCCGATGGCAAACAATTGTGGTTTCTGTGGAACCACAGTGTCCCGAGCCCCCAGGGCAGCGGAGGTGGGCGCGTCCTGTAAGCATTCGCTGTGTGGGCTCAGCTGTGCGGCAGCGGCAAAGAGACGTCGACAGCCCGGCGTGCCTGGCCCTGGCTTCTGCTCCTCGCTTGTTTACGTGTGTTCTCGGCGGCGAAGTGCAGCTCAGCGTGAGAAGGAAGTTGTGGGCGTGTGTTCCCTCAGCCTGGTTTCCGTTCTCATGCACATGGCACAGGTGCCCAGCCCGTCTTCCTGGGGGCGTGCTGGTTTAAAGATGTTCCTGTATGATGCCCCTCAGAGCCAGCCACTGAGTTCATGTGGTGTCAACTGCGGGGAAAGCCAGCGCTCCCTTCCATTGCTTCCAGAAAACTGGCTTTGCTAGACGTGGAAGGTGCCACGTGGGTGTGGGGCACACTCGTGCCTACTGGAGTCTCGGGCTAGCCCAGCAGCCAGGAAAGCAAAGCACTCCCGATGTTTCAAACAGGATTTCCTATCGGGGTCTAGGCTACAAAATTGTGAAGCAGGTTGGGGGAGCAAACAGGGAGGTCGAATACCCAGTGATGAGCCCCGAGGGGAAGCCGCCGCGGCCTGTGGCCCAGTGCACCCTGTGCTCCTCCCCTGATGGGTGGTCTGGAGCCCGGGCAGCTGCATCCCTCAGCAGGATGTGTCTCTCCCGAACACAACGCTCCTGCCTCCCCTGCCCTTATGTCTCACAGGTGTCTCCATGGCAGCTGAGCAGGACCCACCTGGCCAGGCTTCTGGCCACGTGTGTACAGGACGGAGCATGTGAGTGGACAGTGTCCTGTTACAGGGGTGTTGCCGTCTGTGCCAGGATGCAGCCCCTATGCCCTGGGTGTTCTCATTGATGTCACTTGTGTGACATCATGCTGTGTGGGTTCATTCATCTGTAACGCTCCCCATTTCTCCAAACCTGCCGTCATTGGAGGAGGAAGATGAGCGACACGGTTTAGGGGTCCTGGGTCTCCCGGATCCCCAGCACCGGAACAGTGTGGTGCAGATAATACACACTCAATAAATGCTCAGGAAACAAACGCGTGTTTCCTTTTTAGAAAGCGTTTTGCCTTCCGGCCCTCTCTGTCAACCGTACCAGGCTCCATGCTGATGGGAATAGAAATTGTATGTTCCCTTTGGAGGACAATCTAGTGAAATACAGCTGATCCCTAAGAATGTACCTGTTCTGTGATCCTGCCTGCTACTCCCTGGTTGCAAGTCTCGTGGGGACCCTCAGCATTTAGGAAATGCCCCCTCAGGGGAAGGAGGGAGAGCGCCCCTTTTTTAACCTCCTCTCCACTGCAGAGTCCTGGCCTCTGTTGCATAACGAAGTCTGTACGTGAAGATCAATAGCTAAGAAGCATGCTTATTGAAAAGTGTCACGTGACCAGGAACTGAAATAATGCAAGTCGAGACTGTTGGGCAACAGTTGGATTTGTTCCTTGGTCTTGTTTCTTCTGAGATAGGTTTCTTTTCCTCGCTTTATCTCTGTTCACTGCCTGCATCCTCTTCTCCCGAGTACAGACAGTACGTGCAGTTCCTCCTCTGCCCTTCTCTGCCTCTAAGTTGGGGTTGTCCACACAGTGAACTTGAGACGCAGCCGTAGACAGGCAGACCTGGTGCCTGTTTTCTCCACCTAAAGAGATCATGGAACTGGTGTGCAAGAATGGCTCCTTTATCACATGCAAAATAGAGCATGCACATGTTCCTAGGAAACCTGGTGAATAACTGTTTATTCCTAGAATGGAATAACCTATATAATAAAAGTGTAATATGCAAATTGACCAAACAGCGGGACAACCACCCGGACGACCATTTGGGACCACACTGTGACACCCACTGGTACCAGGCCAGCCAAGGCAGGTGCGATGCAATTGGTCGGGGGCCCGGCCATCGCCCCATGATTGCCCCGCAGAGGGAGGCCCAGGCCACCGACGGGCAGACTGCGGCGGGTGGGTGGGGCCTCCCTCTGCGAGGGATACCCGGGTCCTGGGTGCTGGCAGCCAGAGGGAAGCCGGTGCCAGCAGCTGGGGGAAGGAAGGCCTATTCGTGCACAAATTTTGTGCATCGGTCTCTAGTTGTGCAGTAATGTTAAATGCTGACAGGTTTGGTTAACATAAGAATTTGTATATTTTCTTGACTTTGTAGAAGTAAAAATATAAAGGAAATTGTGTATATATAGAACCATTAAAATGTGTAGGAAGAAGTAAGTCCCAGGGTGGCTGGTTTTTCTCTGGGCGGTGGGTTGTGAGTATAGAGGGTAGACCCTTGATGCTAATGGAGAAAATGGGCTGCCGTCTAAGGGATCTGCAACGGAAGGCGAAGCTCAGAGGGAGGTGCACTTTCACTTTTTCGCGTTAAGGGCTAATCCAGCTGCTCGGCCTCCGAGGTGTGGCTTCTCCAGGGTCCACGTCAGTGTTCGTCCACACGGCCCCTGGCCCCGGGCACCTTCCTGCAGCCTCGTGTTCCAGCAGCCCAGACACCCATTCCGAGGAAGAAAGGCGTCTCCTGTGGCTCCTAGGTCCTGGGTTTTGTCCCTAATGCCCGGCTCTGAGCGCTCACTGCACGGGGAAGCAGGGGCTTCTGGAGCTGGGATTTAGCACAGCCGCCCTTGAATGGCGGAGAGGGTCGCTACCCAGGAGAAAGGGTGCCCTCCGCAGAAGAGGTGAATGGACTGAGGAAGCAACCACAGGGGAGATGACAGTGACTTGTCTACATTCACTGTGCTATGCATTTGACCCAATAAACGTGTACTTGGTCAAAGTGATTTTTATAGCTCTCCCCTATATCTCCCCCACGCCTCCGGCCATACAAATGTTACCTTTGCTCAACAACCTTTTTGTCTCTAAGAATCCAGGATGTGGGAGGGGCCACTGGCAGTGTCAGATGCCAGTGCAGGAGGGAGGAGGCTGCGAGGGAACCATGGCTTTGGTTTGGGATGTGCTGGGAAGAGAATGGACAGAGAGAAGAAAAAGCCACTAGAGATACGGATTTGCTTGTTATCTCTATGAAACGGACAACCCCAACTGAGAGGGTGAAAGGGCGGAGGAGGAACCACACGTACTGTCTGACTTGGGAAGAGAAAAGGATTCAGGAAGTGAACAGAGATAAAAAGAGGAAAAGAAACCTATCTCCAGGAAGCCAGACCAAGGAACAAATCCAGTGGTTGCCTAACAGTCTCCACTTGGCATTATTTCAGTTCTTGTCCCAGTGCCTGGTCATGTGACACTTTTCAATAAGCATGCTTTTTAGCTATTGATCTTCATTTACAGACTTAGTCATGCAACTCAGAGGCCAGGACTCTGCAGTGGAGAGAAGGTTAAAAAAAGGGGTGTCTCCCTCCCAGAACCATTCCCCACCCACCCCCAAAACGCTGAGGGTCCCCATGAGACTTGCAACCAGGTAGCCGTGGGCAGTGGCGGCTGGTCCCGGGCTAACCCGCTGAACCTGCAGGCATGTTGACCACACACAATGAGCTAAGATGCAGCCATGAACAGTGAGGTTTGGTGCCTGTTTTCTTAAAGGTACCGCAACCCAACACGTTCTGAGCACCACCTCCAGGTCATCTCCTGAAATCCACACCACAGTCACAGTTCTTCAGCCTCCACAAACAACACATCTGCCCACTCCCCGCCTAGCCAGTGGCCAGAGTCCATTGTTACAATCCCTCTCCCTGCACACCCTCCGCTCTCCACCCTCTCCCTCTGTGACACTTGTCTGTTCAAGGCCCCAAACCTGGTGAGCCCTTCCACCTGCCTCCTACCTGCCCCCAAAGCTCTGTATTCCTCGAAGGAAGTCACACAGCTCAGCTGGCTGGCTTCACTTTAATGACTGTAGACCTCAAACTGACACATGACGTTACCAAAGGAGCTGGCTTTAAGTCTCTTGTAGGCTTGCTTTTCTTTTCCTTTTTAAAACATATTTTATTGATTCTGAGAGGGAGAGAGAGAAGAACATCACTGATGAGAGAGAACCATTGATGAGCTGCCTCCTGCACGCCCCACACTGGGGATCGAGCCGGCAACCCAGGCATGTGCTCTGACCGGGAATGGAACTGTGACCTGGTCCATAGGTCAACGCTCAACCACTGGGCCACACCAGCCTGGCTAGGCTTGCTTTTCTTTTCCTGATATCAGCTATTTTAAACATTCTCCCTCCCACACCCCTCCTCTGCCCTGTTCATGACTCACTGAGAACACTAAAGCCATCAGGCATCGATTCCCCTGTCCGCCACCGAACAGGTCAATCTACCCCCACACACTGTTTCTCCCACTACACGCTGATTCCCTCCACCTGAGCCCCTTGCCTGGCCCCTGACGTTAGATCAGAGAATTTGATCCTTTGCTGATTCGTGCTCGGGCCTCCTCACCTGCTCTGATGCCTTCAAACAACAAGTCCCTGCTGACGGCTCCCAGATGGGTGGCTACAGACGGCTCCCAGATGGGTGGCTACAGCCAGAGTCGCAGTCTCGGAGGCATCTGCCTACTTGCCAACTTGTTACAACATTTTAGTCCCCACACGACTCCAGGCTTTCTCATCTCAGCCTGTGGCGGCACTTTGCTGCCTCTTCTCCCCGGTACCCCCACATCCAGTCCCTGAGAAAACACCCCCTGGACTCGGTCTGCCTCCACCACACGGATCCTGCCCGTTACGCATCAGCCCTTCTCCAATCTGGACTCCCCACATTTGCCACATCGCTCCCATTACTGCCCGGTTTGGGAACCTTGACGTGGTTTCCCCCGCATTTGGGGGAATGTTTGTCACAATGTCTACAAAGATTGCACACAATCTTCCATCGCTTATCTTCCCAACCCTATCTCAGGCCCCTGTTCCCCTGTTCCCCTGTCCCCACACAAAAACTTCTTGCCCCGGCTGGTTTGGCTGAGTGGATAGAGCGTCAGCCTGCAGACTGAAGGGTCCTGGGTTTGATTCTGGTCAAGGGCATGTGCCTGGGTTGCAGGTTTGGTCCCCAGTGGGGGGCGTGCAGGAGGCAGCCAATCAATGCTTCTCTCTCATCATTGATGTTTCTATCTCTCCCTCCCCCTTTCTGAAATCAATAAAAATATACATTTTTTAAAAAAAAACTTTTTCTTATTTTATTTTGTATTGGTTTCAGGTGTACAGCATCATGGCTGGACAGTCACACTTTACAAAGTGTTGCCCCCGTATTTCCAGGACCCACCTGGCAGCATGCACAGTTATTACAATATTATTGACTATATTTCTGATGCTTTAATTTCTTCCCTGTGACTATCTGTCTGCCAGTCTGTACTTCTTTAGCCCTCCACCTTTTCACCCAGCCTCTCCTTCCCTCCTTCCCCTTTGGCAACCACCAGCCTCTGTGTCTATGCGTCTGTTTCAGTATAAAAAAATTTTAAGGGAAAAAAAGGAAACCCATCAGTATAACCCACTGTGTGAACAAAGAATAAAAACTATTTGCATTTGATGAATCCCAAATCCATCCCATAAAAACAGCCACTTCCCCAGCCTGAGAAAGAGTAGCTGCAAACCCTGCAGACTTCCTTCTGAAAGTGAAACTCTGAGATTGAGGAACACTGCTCAGCATTGTCGTCAGTGCAGTCAAGCAAGATATGAAAGTAGATGGACATAGACTGGAAGTGACCTGAAACTGCCCTTATCCACAGATGCTGTGATTGTGGAGGTAGGAAACCCAAACGATCTATCGAGAATTATTGCAGTTGAGTGAAGTTGCTAGAGACCAGATCAACATACAAAAATCAATCCCATGTCTATATCAGTGGCAAACAAAATTTAAAATTTTTTTTAATCCTCACCTGAGAATATGTTTTTATTGATTTTGAGAGAGAGGAGAGAGAGAGAAACATTGGTTGGTTGCCTTCTCTACCTGTCCCGACGGGATCGAACTCAAAAGGTACGTGTCCTGACCAGAAATCGAACCCACAACCTTTTGGTGCACAGGACGATGCTCCAACCGAGCCACCCACCGGCCAGGGCCAGAATTAAAATGTGTGAACAAATCTGTATTACAATTCTATGCTGACGTAAATTACTACAAATTTAGTGGCTTAGAACCACACGTAATTATCATCTTGCAGTCCTGTAGGTCAGGAGTCTGGTAAGTCCTTTTAGAAAAAAGTCCCCATAAAAGACAGACTAATTCCCAATAAGCACACGACCAGACGTCCCACGTCCTTAGCTGTCGAGGAAGCACACACGGTGCACGTTAGTCACGGGGACGCCCGATGCCCGAACGTGGACGACTCAGCGGGAAGTGTGACACGGCAGCTGATGGGACTGAAGGTGCCAGAATCCCTTTGGGAAACGGCAAGTCCTCGTGATGTGAGGCACGTGCCTCCTCGGATCCAGAAATTCCACCCCTGGCTCTGTACCCAAGTGAACGAAGATGCACATCCATTAAAAGACGCCATAGCAATGCTCGCGACAGCTCGTTCTTCTTGTTAGCAGAACACGGGACACCACCCGACAGCCACCAGGCGAGTAAAACAAACAGCAAATCCTGGGGTTACTCCTCCCGACACCCCACTCCGCAGTGACAGTGCGTGGCGGCCGCGTGGGGCAGCTGTGGGCTTCCCGCCGGACAGAGGCGGCAGCATCCTGGGGGCGGAAGGCACATCGGGCGTTTTATTGGGGGTCATTGTATGAGAATGACAGCAAGTGGACAAACATGAATGGACTGAGGCCAAAGTGAGGAGGGGGAGGATGAAATCAATAGAAAGTCTAACAAAAGACTCAGCAGTGTGTTAGGAGGGAGCCGTTTCAAACGCGGAGAGAAATGGTCGATAACCAAAGGACGACGAGGAGCGGTCACACTGGAGAAGGACTGGGGTTTTGACGTGAAATCCGGACACGAAACGCACAGCATGACCTGAACACGACGCCGGGAAGCAGGGGTCGTGGTCCTAACCACTGAGCCACAGCCCAGGAGCTGTCTGTGCGCGGACAGCTTACAGCTCAGAGGTGGGGAAAGATCGACTTTGCCCTTCATCTGCCGCCCCTAAAAGTGTGCATGACGTGGCCAAACAAAACCAGTCCTCGGAAAGCAGCTTTCACAAACTCAACACCATGTCACCAACCTTCCCAGAGAAGAGCATGATCGCTGTTTCCTGTGAAAAACGACCTCCAACCTTATTGTCGAGGTCAAGTACATGAAGCCAAAATACGTAACTTTTATACAGTTGTGTTTGCAGCTTATATATTGTGTTGTTGTTGTTGTCGATGGGGGGTCTGGATTTTAAAAATACCTGTGGAGGGTTTCTTAATTTAAAAACTGTAATCGGTGCCATTCATTCCAGATAAATATTGATTTCATTCCCAACTTTGCATTCAGACGTTTCCTTGCGGTATTTTTAAGCACGTCCTCCAACTGCTTAGGCTTCGGGCCCTGCAACTCCTGGGTCGATCGCAGGACGAACCGTGGAGCGGGAGAAGCAGTTTGCAGGAAAATGCATCCAGGTGAGAACCATGCGAAGCCGCACAGTCGCTCACAGCTGGACACGCATGTGGAGCCAGGAGGCCTGCGGCTCAGGGGCCGGTGCTTCTCGCCTTCGTGGGCGCTTTCCTCAGAAACATCCAACATCCTACGTCATGGCCAGAGGGTTATAAACACAAACGCATCACTAAATAGGAAAAGACTTTCAGCCTGAAATTCCGGTTGTTTTCCTGCACGTGCATGTCTCCAGCGAAGGCCCTGGGCAGCTTTCAGGGCCCGTTCCCCACGCTGGTCAGCGGCTGGGGCTCCAGCCTCCTCTCATCCGCTTCCACGACGGCCGCCTGGGAAACAGACACTCGGCGGCCTTTTCCTTGCCACCTCGTCTTTCAAAAAGGTCTTCGTTGCCCTGACCGGTTTGGCTCAGTGGATAGAGCGTCGGCCTGCGGACTGAAGGGTCCCAGGTTCGATTCCGGTCAAGGGCATGTACCTTGGTTGTGGGCACATCCCCAGCAGGAGGCAGCTGATCGATGTTTCTCATCGGTGTTTCTAACTCTCTATCCCCCTCCCTTCCTCTCTGTAAAAAATCAATAAAATATATATTTTTAAAAAGTTCATTGTCGCCAGCTATCCAGGTCTGTCTTGTTTCAAGTCTTACATCAACATACCATCTACAAGGTGATGCGTGTACAACTTATAATGCATTATTGCTGGAAACAGTTTTCTAACGCCGGAATACGGGCCCAACTCGTTCACGGAGTAGAAACGTGGAAAATAACGGTTTTCGGTTTTCGCCTCGTGCTCTCAGGTCCAGGGCCAGCTGGGCAAATTAGCATAACGGCCATCAGATTAGCACAACGGTCATCAGATTAGCATAACGGTCATCAGATTAGCATAACGGCCATCGGATTAGCATAACGGCCATCGGATTAGCATAACGGTCATCAGATTAGCATAACGGTCCTCCCTAAGCCACGCCCCCTCACGGGACCTTTTTCTCCCGTTCTCAGCCGCCCGCTCCTCAGTCTTCGGTTGAGGTTCGCCTTGGTAGGACCGTCGCCCAACCTGCCCGAGGGGCCCACCGCAGACCCTTTCCTTCGCAGCGCTGGTCAGTATTCGTAATCATTTGGGTTTTCTGCCTCGTTAGAGTGAAAGCCAGTGGTGGTTCCTCAGCAGCCAGCTCGGTCGCAGGTGTTAAAAACAGGCGTGAGGTTTTCTGGTGGTGGTTTTCCTGTGATGCTCTGTGTTGTGTTTCTTTGCAGTCCTTCAACGTATCCTTTTTCTGAAATACAAAGTATATGGACTCCCCCGAATTTGCAGGACTTAATGCATCCTTTTTCTGTCATCCAAAATATATATATCTGTTCCTCCAGATACCTGTTGATTGCATATTAGGTCTTTAAAAGAAATCTAAAAAAGGGGGAGAAATCCCTTCGCGGGCCGCAGCACACCCTCCTGCAGCACCTGCGGCGTCGGGAACAGGAGAGGACAGCGGGACGCAGAAAGGTAGGCGCCCCAGTCCACGGGGCACGGGAGGTCGGGCCGCATCCTCTCTGCGAGGCAGCGGAAGCCGTGGGCAGGGCCACGTGCCCTCCTCGGCGGCTGGCTCCGCCCCCAGTGCGAGGGCGCTCCCGATTGGTCTGCCCCGCATCCCGGAAGTGACGTCGGCGCCAGGTCTAAGGGTTCCCCGGCCGAGTTCGGCGCGCCTCTCCCCCACGCCCCGCCCCCCGCGCACCACAACAAAGTGGCGGCGGAGGCGGGGCTTGCGGCCGGTAGGCGGCGCGCTGGGGCCGGACCTTCGCTCGCGGCGCCGCTGGGTTGGGTGGCGGTGTGCGACCGATACTTCCGCCCTCGCCGGCCTGTGGAGCGGAGGCATGGAGGTGGGCTAGCGGCCGAGGTGAGGCCCGCGGGGTGAGGAGAGCGGCGGCTCGGGGTCGCACACGTGAGCCCGTGCGCGGCTGGTGTGCGCGGGGCCGCGTGGGATAGCCGTCGCGGCGCGTGGGGTCCGGGCGGGCGGGGGAGGGGCGGCGCGAGCGCGGCGGCTCGGTCGGTCGCGGCGCTGCTGGCGGGAGCACCCCGGTGGTGCCTGGTGGGTCGTCCCCCGCTGTCTCCTGCACCCCGGGGTCCCGGGCGCTGGGACCCCCCTCTCCTCCCTTTCCCGCGTCTGCAGAGCGGAATCGTCACCTATTTTCGGTCCGGGCGTGGCGTAGGGCCTCCGGATGGCGGGGGGCGGGTCCAGCTGCAGAGAGTCTTGGTCCTCTCGACCCCCTGCGTTTCTCCTGCCCCGGAGGCTCTCCGGGCGGGGAGTGCTTCTCCCTAGTGGTTCCTGCTCCACCTGTTCCCAAGTCTGGCAGCAGAGGAGCTTTGCCCACCCCCCTCACCTGCGGCCCAGAGGGAGCAGGTACGAGGCTCGAAGGGAACAGAACCCTTGGGTTAGAAGGAAGAGTTTGACGTTTAAAGTGAGAGATGAGTTAGTGACTGACACCCGCGGGCTGCGCTTGCTCATTTGGGGAACTTACAGACTGCCCAGCTGTTCTGAGTGGGCCAGTCCCGGTGTAATGAGTCCCCCGCCCCACCCCGTGGAGGCAGGATCGCAGTTGCATCATCTCTACAGTATTTGTGTGCCCACAGGCAAGTTGTCTAATCTGTGAGCATGAGCTTTTCCATCAAACGGTGACTTCTGGATCCACTTCATAGGATTGATGTGAAACTCAAGTAAGATATTGTAAACTGCTTAACTGTTTTTTACTTTTTCTTTCTTGTTTCAGAAATGTTCTTTTGGGACCAGAGTCTGGGTATATATGAGTGAAAATCCTCACCCAGGAATCTCGACTGAGAGGCTCACATCTCTGTAAGCCATTAGCCCAGGTATTAATTTTTTCAGTCACCTACTATGTGCCAAAAGGAAAAGTGATTAAACAGAAGAGATCCTTGCCCTGCAGATTCAGAATTGCTGAGAACAACAGCTCAGCCCAGCATGGAAGTGAAGTGATAGAAACAAACAAAGGCCTGAGATAATGGAGAAGAAGGTCATCAAAGACAAAGCAGAAGGGAGAGTATGGGTCAGACAAGCCCCAGATATGATGACGCTCAGGGATGGGTTGGTTGCACATGGTTAGTTCTCAAATCTGGCTTTTTATCAAAAATCACTGATGGAATTCTTTGAAAAAATTTAATCTGAATTTTATCAGTGTCATCTGCCCTTTTTTTTTAGTTTGTTTGGTGAGTTTGATGTACTTTCAGGATTAAGAACCAGGGTAGGGCCGAAACCGGTTTGGCTCAGTGGATAGAGCGTCGGTCTGGGGACTGAAGGGTCCCAGGTTCGATTCCGGTCAAGGGCATGTACCTGGGTTGCGGGCACATCCCCAGTGGGAGATGTGCAAGAGGCAGCTGATCGATGTTTCTCTCTCATTGATGTTTCTAGCTTTCTGTCTCTCTCCCTTCCTCTCTGTAAAAAATCAATAAAATATATTTAAAAAAAAAAAAAAAAAAAAAAAAGAACCAGGGTAGGGTATGAAGGGTGGGTGCTCCAGGCAGATGGATGAGCTTCCATAAAAGCAGGGAACGCCAACACCATGCAACACCACGAAGCATTTTCGGGAGAGCAAGTGAGGGGTTGGAATGGCAAGAGATGATGCTGAAGCCAGATCAGGCAGGGCCTTATGTGCTGAGCTCAGAAGCTTGAGGTTGATTCCAAGACTTCAAGCTTACTCTGGAGGAGTCACCTATGCTTTCAAAGTCCAGCTGTTTCCTTGCCCGTCGGCAGCATTTGGAGGAAGAATTGGTGGTGGATCAAAACAAGACAGAAGAATCCCATTTAGGCTTCTATAATCTAGACAAATAATGAGAATGTGTTCAAGTTAGGCGGTGGCAGTGTCACTAAGTACAGATGTAATTGAGGAGGTGGACTCTGGAACTCAGAGAGATGGGGGCTAAGGGAGAGTACAAGATAATTCCCAGGCTACTGGTTTGAAAACTAAAGGATAGTGATGCCATGAATATAGAAAATACTGTATTTAAGGGAAGGACTTTGTTCTTTTCTTGTTCTGTTTACTTTGAGGTGCCTGTCAGGTGAGTAGAGATCACTGTGCAGTTGGATATTGACTATATCTTTGTGGATTTCTAGGCTAGGCTAGCATTTATTGAGTAGCTGGACTATAGTTAAGCATTGCATTATGAGTTTTACATACATTCTCAGTCTTTGGGAAACTTCAAAATAGGTAGTAGTTGAAGCCGTGGTTTGAGGTAGGTCACCCAGAAGGAGGTTACTAAATGAGGTTAGAGTCCTGAGGGCAACCTCTGGAAACGGATGCTTACAGAGGCAAAAGGAAGAGGAGATTATGAGGAAGGTTGAGAAGAACTGAAAGGGAGAATCATGTTAAAACTATAAAAGAATGTGGACAATAAAATGTTACTTGTGCAGATTAAATTTTTAAATGTGCAAAAGAAAATACTGGCCATGCATTCCTTAGCTAAGACAACATGATTCTCCTTTCAGTTCTTCTCAACCTTCCTCATAATCTCCTCTTCCTTCTGCCTCTGTAAAAAAATCCTGCTTTTGAGTGTGGAAGTAGCCTAGCACTCTGAGTGAAATAAAGAGCAGTCTCCATAATTTTCTTTTTTTTAAATATATTTTGATTTTTTACAGAAAGGAAGAGAGTGGGATAGAGAGTTAGAAACATCGATTCAGCTGCCTCCTGCACACTCCCCACTGGGGATGTGCCCACAACCAAGGCACATGCCCTGACCGGAATCGAACCCGGGACCCTTCAGTCCACAGGCCGACACTCTATCCACTGAGCCAAACCAGTTAGGGCCGTAAATTTCTTAATGGAAGGGTCGTTTTGCTGACTGCTCTGTTAACATGTGACAAAGTTATTGTTTTACTTCAGTCCCTTAATTTTTTCAAAGTTTCGGTTTCTCCTGTCAAGTCATGCTCATAATAATTGATGTTTGAGAAACCTCTTAAGTTTCACTTTCTATTATTAAATCAGAATTCACTCTGCATGTTGAATTAGATCACCAGAAAAATAGCTTCTGCAGATTTTCAACTTCCTGGTATTGTGAAGGCCTTTAGATTCAAGAAACTCTGCTTTGAATGAAATGATTTTAACCCTTTGCACTCCGAACCATTCTGGACATTGGCTACCAGCTACTCGACGCTACTTTGCGGCGGAAACGTGCATTTACAGACCCTCGTATTATTTAGTATAATTTTGGAACCAAGTAACGTATTATAATGATATTGGACTTATATGAATTGGGTGACATCGAGGAATGTATATTTGCAAAAAAATATTTTATTGTTTATAATTTTGTACAGTATGATAAGTTTTGTAACACTCCCCAATATGCATTGCAGGCTGATTAGTGCATGTTTGACAGTAATAAGTGGTTTGACGCCTGCCACCAGGTGTTTTCCTGTTAGAACACACAATGCAGTCCTGTTTTCTTTGTCCCACATCGGCAATATGTAGTTTATTGTTTAATCCGACACAAAACCCGCTGACATTTCTTGTATATATCTTAGTAATTTTACGATATTTTGATTTAATTTCTTGTGCCATTTCAAGATAAAACTTCAGGGAAACATGCATGTCTCAAAAAGTTGCGTTGAAATAACTCAATTCCCCGTAATCACTAATAAACTGCAATGTCCCCTGAGAGGGGACATCCGAGTGATATGCTAGAATTCCGATGTCCCCTGAGAGGGGACAGCGGAGTGCAAAGGGTTAAATTCCGCAGAAACTAATACTATTCAGTGGTACTTGGTGTCCCTAGTTTGCAGCCCCCTTGGTAAGGTGTAGGCACTAATGAAATGGAATGGGATTAGAATCTCCTTTCTAAGGAAAGGCGGGGCTCTCCAGCTGAGTTAGTAGCTTTCTCTGTTTTTAAATGAGGACTGTGTACCTCATCATGTTATCTTTTTGCTCAGCTTTTCAGGAAGCTCCTAATTTAGGACTTAGTGAAATTAAATTTATTTTATTTTATTTATTTATTTTAAATATATTTTATTGATTTTTTACAGAGAGGAAGGGAGAGAGATAGAGAGTTAGAAACATCGATCAGCTGCCTCCTGCACATCTCCTACTGGGGCTGTGCCCGCAACCCAGGTACATGCCCTTGACCGGAATCGAACCAGGGACCTTTCAGTCCACAGGCTGACGCTCTGTCCACTGAGCCAAAACGGTTTCGGCATTAAATTTATTTTAAATAAGTTTGGATTGCTATCTCTTTTTATTTATTTATTTATTTATTTATTTATTTATTTTAATTAAATCGATTATTACATTTGTTCCTCTTTTTTCCCCCCATAACTCCCCTCCTTCCAGCTCCCACCCCACCCTCCACCCTCACTCCCCACCCACTGTGTTCATCCATGGGTGCACGATTTTTGTCCAGTCTCTTCCCGCATCTCCCACACCCCTTTTCCCCCCAAGAATAGTCAGTCCATTCCCTTTCTATGTCCCTGATTCTATTATAATCACCAGTTCATTCTGTACATCAGGTTATTTATTCACTTGATTCTTAGATTCATTTGTTGATAGATGCATATTTGTTGTTCATAATTTGTATCTTTACCTTTTTCTTCTTCTTCCTCTTCTCAAAGGATACCTTTCAGCATTTCATATAATACTGGTTTGGTGGTGGTGAACTCCTTTAGCTTTTCCTTATCTGTGAAGCTCTTCATCTGACCTTCAATTCCGAATGACAGCTTTGCTGGATAAAGCAATCTTGGTTGTAGGTTCTTGGCATTCATCACTTTGAATATTTCTTGCCACTCCCTTCTGGCCTGCAAAGGTTCTGTTGAGAAATCAGCTGACAGTCGTATGGGTATTCCCTTGTAGGTAACTGAGTTTCTTTCTCTTGCTGCTTTTAAGATTCTCTCTTTGTCTTTTGCTCTTGGCATTTTAATTATGATGTGTCTTGGTGTGGTCCTCTTTGGATTCCTTTTGTTTGGGGTTCTCTGCGCTTCCTGGACTTGGAAGTCTATTTCTTTCACCAGGTGGGGGAAGTTTTCTGTCATTATTTCTTCAAATAGGTTTTCAATATCTTGCTCTCTCTCATCTTCTGGTACCCCTATAATTCTGATGTTGGTACGTTTGAAGCTGTCCCAGAGGCTCCTTACACTATCTTCGTATTTTTGGGTTCTTTTTTCATTTTGCTTTTCCGGTTGGGTGTTTCTCGCTTCTTCGCATTTCAAATCTTTGACTTGATTCTTGCCCTCCTCTGGTTTGCTGTTGGGAGTCTGTATAATATTCTTTATTTCAGTCAGTGTATGCTTACTTTCTAGATGGTCCTTTATCACACCATCGAGGGTCTCATTAGATTTCCTGTACAACTCATCAAGTTTATCGACAGACTCTAGAAGCCTCTTGAGAGACCTCAAAAGTGTGGTTCTGAACTCAATATCCTCCCTTGATAGTTTTGTCCTGTTTCTTTGTCTCCGCATTTTTTACGCTTTCTTGGTACACCCCCTAGTGGTCTTTGTGCGCAGTCTTGTTGTAGTTAAGCCTTGATTGTTATAGTTAATACTAGAGGGATTTGACCTCCAGGCCGACTGGCTGTGCTAATCTAGCCTTTGCCTGAGGCTATCCGGCAAATGGCTCTGTGCAGGGCTTGGGCGGGGCGGGTCCCACGGGATCAACAGGGCGGAGGAGGGAGCAGTTATGGCTGCTCTCAGTCCGTCCCCAGGGGCTCTGCCTCTCTGTCCCAGCAACAGCTGCAAACCTCCGAGGGACCGTAGCCAGACAGTCCTGCTTCTCCCGTTTGAGTCTGGGTCCCTAGAGACTCGCCCGGATCTGGAGCTCTGAGTCTGAGGCTCCCTCCGGATTGAAACAGACAACCGCGCCCTCAGCCACCAGCCCTCGCTGCGCGCGTACTCCGCACCTTAGTATTTTACTTCAGCACTGCGCCTCCTCTGATTCTCGGTTCCTCCTAGTTGTAGAACTTCCATTCAGCCAGCCTTCCTGTGGTTCTGGATGATGTCCGTTCCGTCTTTTAGTTGTATTTTTGAAGTGGTTGTTCGAGGCAGCAAACTCCCGCGTTAACCTATGCCGCCATCTTGGTTTTTTTCCAGAGGCTCTCTCCGCTATCTCTTTTTAAATCTCCTTTTTAAATGTCCTTTTTATTTGTAGTACTTAAATATTAAAAGCTGCCCTGAATTATTTTTGGGAGCATGAAGAAAGTACACAATTAATACTTAATGAATTCAGAAAATTCCCAAGACAAATACATATATTTGATTATAAGTACATATTTATGTATAAGTCTTTAATCATGAATACAAGAAGGAAGTAAGGAATTTTTCTAAATATGAATTTATTTTCAAGAACTGGCTCCCAGCTGGCGTGGTTCAGTGGTTGAGGGTAGACCTATGAACCATGGTTTGGTTCCCCGTCAAGGCACATGCCTGGGGTTTCAGGCTCGATCCCCAGTAGGGAGTGTGCAGGAGGCAGCCAATCAATGATTCTCATCATTGGTGTTTCTCCCTCTCCCTTCCTCTCTGAGATAAATATATACCTATATCAATATATCGATATATATATATCTTTTTTTAGAGGCCCAGTGCACGAGTTCGTGTACCAGTGGGGTCCCTCAGTCTGGCCTGCAAGATTGGGCTGAAACCGGCTCTCTGACATCCCTCAAGGGGTCCTAGATTTCGAGAGGGAACAGGCCAGGCAGAGGGACCGCACAGGTGCACAATCAGGGCTGGGAAGAGACGTGGGAGGTTGGGCAGTCAGGGAGGGACTGCAGAAGGGCTCCCGGGCTCCAGGGTGTGTACGGCCCGTCTGGCTCAGTACCAATCGGCTGGACCCCAACAGCAAGCTAACCTGCCAATTGGAGCAACTGGTCAACGGTCTGCCCCCTGGTGGTCAGTGCACGTCATAGCAAGCAGTTGAGTGGCCTTAGCATATCATTAGCATATTACGCTTTGATTGGTTCAACGGGCGACCAGACATTTAGCATATTAGCTTTTTATTATATAGGATATTTTAAGGACTTGCATTATGCCACCAAAGCCTCAGCAGTAAGATATAATTTCTGTTAAGATGTCATCTGGCTCCGGCTGGTTTTTCCCAGTAGTTGGAGCATCACATCCATGGTTCTCTCTGTCTCTACCTTTCTCCCCCTTTCCCTCTTTCCCTCCCTCCCTCTCTCCTTCCCTATACTCTAAAAACCAATGGAAAAAATATCCTCGGCTGAGGATTAATCACAACAAAAAGATGTCATTTGAATTTTAGGGTAATATGCATTCAAAACTGCCAAGTTTCTTTACCCAAGTATTCAATTCATGTTTCTTAACCTTTTTTTGTCCCTTCTCTCCCTTCCTGAAAGGAAACAGTTGAGACATTTCTGTGTATTTCCCATGAATTTTAATACTAGCAATATAGTATATATCTGTGCACCGTATGTATATGTGTGCTTTATACATAAAAAGAATAGGACTGACCAAATTTTATCTCTTTGAGGATGACATCACCCCTGATGAGAATGTATGGTTAGGTCAGTGGTCGGCAAACTGCAGCTTGGCAAACTGTGGCTTGCGAGCCACATGTGGCTTTTTGGCCCCTTGAGTGTGGTTCTTCCACAAAATACCGACTTCTGCGCATAGGCCACGAAGTTTCAATCGCACTGTACGTGCACGTCCACACATGGTATAGTTCACTTCATAAACTAGATGGACCTAACCCCGTGGTCTGCAAAACGTAGCTTGCAAGCCACATGCGGCTCTTTGGCCCCTGTAGAGTGGCTCTTCCACAAAATACCACGTGTGGGCAAATTCATGTGCATCCGTACTTTGTAAACAAGAGAAAACCCTTCTCTGTGGGAGTGGTTGGTATGGGTTAGTACTTATGGATTTTCATGTTTCCAGGGATTTCTTGAACGTGGCTTTTGGGAGTGTAAAGGTTTCTTGAGCTTTTGACTCTGCCTCAGTACTTCAGGAGAACATGCAAAATCCATGCTTTGGAAACATGGAGAGTTCTCTGTCTGAATGTTTTCCTTCAATACTAGTGGCCCGGTGCACGAATTCATGCACATTGAACAGAAATTAATTAGAAGAAATATTTTTTTTCTTTTTTTAAAAAATATATTTTATTGATTTTTTACAGAGAGGAAGGGAAAGAGATAGAGTTAGACACATCGATGAGAGAGAAACATCCATCAGCTGCCTCCTGCACATCTCCTACTCGGGATGTGCCTGCAACCCAGGTACATGCCCTTGACCGGAATCGAACCTGGGACCTTTCAGTCCGAAGGCCGACGCTCTATCCACTGAGCCAAACCAGTTTCGGCAAGAGGAAATATTTTAATATCGCTATTTGCCCTTTATAATAGAAGTGTCAACCAAAACCATGATCAACAATGACAGATCGAAACACACACATGCCATTGGCACCAGCGAGAGCTTTATACGTATCGTGCATGTGCGAGTCAACTTAGTCTCTTATAGATATAGAATAAACTTGCTTAATTAGAACTGCTTTCTGATTTAGCTAAACTTTTTCTAGCCCAAGGAAGTGCACCAACTTCTCTTTCAGATAATTGTTAGCAACACAGCAGTAAATATCAACATGAAGCAGATTATTTTTGTAGATTACACAGGGAGAACAAAGGGTAAAATATTGAACTGCAGCAGTGTTTGACTGTATTCTGCTCAGCGAGAAAACCTGAAGTCATTTTCAAGGTCCACCATTTCTTTTTAGTTGGGTCAAGTTTCTGAGCTCTCTAAATGTCTGTTTTCTGGCTAATGAAAAGAAAATAGGACTCCACCGAGTTTCCTATCCACCTACTCCAGGACTTCTGTGAGGATCAAATGAGATGAGGCACCGGAAAACACTTCACAGACATTTGGTTAAAGTGTGAAATGTTTGCACCTGGCTATAAAGCAAGTCATGTTCCTGGGCTGAAGAAACTGCAAGGAGGCTAGTTGCTAGGGAGAGGAAGTTGGGTGTTGCTACGTGACATCATTACCTAGACCAGTGGTGGGCAAACTCATTAGTCAACAGAGCCAAATATCAGCAGAACAACGATTGAAATTTCTTTTGAGAGCCAAATTTTTTAAACTTAAACTATATAGGTAGGTACATTGTTATTAACTTAATTAGGGTACTCCTAAGGCTTAGGAAGAGCCACACTCAAGGGGCCAAAGAGCTGCATGTGGCTCGTGAGCCGCAGTTTGCCGACCACGGACCTAGACTGTCGGACACTTAGCATATTAATCTTATATATGTAGATGACATAGTTTTGAGCCTTTTCTATAGCACAACTGTATTGCCTTATGATGTTTACAACTAACAAAGTTGCTTTCATTTTGTTATATTTTTCATGTGTCAAAGAAAGTTTTGAGGAGTGGGCTCAGATTTGAGTTAGTCCATTATTGACAGCTGGCCAGCAGGTGGTTCTCAATGTGGTTGAGGTACGTTCTCAGTTGAGGGTGATGGTCATTTGAGGAAATGTACCCATTCTTCACACAGAATAGGCCTAAAATGTTGTTTTGTTTATCTTTAGTCTTTGTTTTGTTTCCTAGATCCAGGTACATAATGAGCACATGTTGCTGGTGTACGCCAGGTGGCGTTTCCGCCATTGAGTTCCTACAGCACTATGCATCCAGGACCCAGTCCAGTGAATTCCAGACAGCAAATGAAGACCTCTGCTACTGCTTAGAGTGTGTGACCGAGTACCACAAAGCAAGGGACAAACTGCCATTGTTGCATGAGGTAATTTACATTACAGGGGAATGTTTTTCGGAGCTTGATAACTAGGAAGAGAATAAATTTGAACTCTTTAGAAGCATTCAGGGAACTGATAATTTAAACTTTAAAGGCTGATACATACCTCTAGTACCTAATTCATTCCCTGCTATATAGTAGGTGCTGAATCAGTGGCCATTAACTGGTGGAATTGAATTAAAACCTAAAACAGAACTGTATGACCTCTCACTTTGAGTCATCCCATATAATAAAAGGCTAATATGCAAATTGACCGAATGGCAGAACGACCGGTTGCTATGATGTGCACTGCCCACCAGGGGGCAGATGCTCAATGCAGGAGCTGCCCCCTGGTGGGCAGTGCACTTCCACAGAGGGAGCGCCACTCAGCCAGAAGCCAGGCTCATGGCTGGCAAGTGCAGAGACGGTGGCAGGAGCCTCTCCTGCCTCTGTGGCAGCACTAAGGATGTCCGACTTATGGCTTAGTTCCGTTCCCCTTGGGGTAGTGGGACTAAGCCGTCAATCAGACATCCCCTGAAGGCTCCCGGACTGTGAGAGGGTGCAGGCTGGGCTGAGGGGCCCTTTACCCCCACCCCACCCCCAAAATACCTGAATTTTGTGCACCAGGCCTCTAGGTTTTTTGTTTGTTTGTTTTTTAAACATATTTTGATTGATTTCAGAGAGGAAGGAAGAGGGAGAGAGAGATAGAAATATCAACAATAAGAAGCATTGATTGGCTGCCTTTTGCACACCCCCTATTGGGGATTAAGCCTGCAACCCAGGCATGTGCCCTTGACCAGAAACAAACCCGGGACCCTTCAGTCCACAGGCCGATGCTCTATCCACTGAGCCAAATCGGCCAGGACCTCTAGTTATGATATAAAACAATTTTATGAAATGAAGTGATGTATGGGGAGGGGGTTGGTTCATGTCAGTTTATCAGTATATTTGACAGTGTTATAAATTCATGTGTCTGAATGGCTTGGGCTATGTTTTTATTGATTTTTTTTCTCTTCATTTTTAAATGGGTAAATGGTATAAACCTCTGAGCACAAGCATATTTTCTAGTCATAGTAAGCCAAAGTAACACATATTTAAAAATGTAGCTTTGAATATTTGGTTTATTACATTTATGTGATGAAAAATAGAACACTGCCCTGGCCTGTGTGGCTCAGTTGGTTGAGTGTTGTCTCATGCACTCAGGGGCACAGGTTCAATTCCTGGTCAGGGCATATGCCCAGATAGTAGGCTCAAGCCCCAGTAGGGGGCAATTGATGTTTCTCTTTCTCCCTCTCTTTCTAAAATAATCAATAAAAACATATTTTAAAAAATAAAACGCAGACCATAGAGGTGATATATATAGAGGAAGAGGTTCGATTCCTGGTCAGGGCATGTGCCCGGGTTGCGGGCTTGATCCCCAGTGTGGGGCATGCAGGAGGCAGCTGATCAGTGATTCTCTCTCATCATTGATGTTTCTGTCTTCCTTCCTCTCTGAAATCAATAAAAAAATATTTTTAAAAATGACTGAAGTAATAACAAAAAATAATATTTGTAAGCAAATGATGGTTAGAAGCATTTTAAAATTAACAGTGTGTTAATTTTCACATATGACATATGGACTGGAAATTTTATCTGTTAAATCTTAAATCGAGGTCCGCAAAATTGAGGGTTTACTGTGCTCATTCATGTATCATAAATGTGGCCATAGTGACTTTTTCTTCAAATAAATCTAATATGTGATGTCTACTTTATTTTTTAACATTAAATACCAAACACAGATTTGGCTTCCTTTCTTTTTTCTTTACATATTTCTTTATTGATTTCAGAGAGGATGGGAGAGGGAGAGAGAGAGAGAAACATCAGTGATGAGAGAGAATCATTGCTCATCTGCCTCCTGCACACCCCCTGCTGGGGATTGAGCCTGCAACCCTGGCATGTGCCTTTGGCTGGAATCGAACCTGGGACCCTTCAGTCTGCAGGCCCGATGCCCTATCCACTGAGCCAAACCGGCAAAGGCTGTGATGTCTACTTTAAAATTCTGCATCTTAATGCTTAGGAAAAGGCTTTCAGAAAGATCATGACATCCAGTATATTTTGTTGATATAACAAGATATAAAGCGCACTGCCCATTCTTCTTTTCCTGTAGGTTTTATGGGAATTAGAAACCTTACGTCTCATAAATCACTTTGAAAAATCTATGAAACCAGAAATGGAAGATGATGAATTATATATCATAGAAAACAATGGAGAGGAACAACCGTTTGACTTCACTGGCCAAGACTTTGAGAATAAGCTTCGAGTTCCTCTTCTCGAAATCCTGAAATACCCTTATCTGCTTTTACATGAGCATGTTAGTGAGTATCTTGGATGTTCTACAGGTTGTATCAGTTTTATTATTTCAAGGATTATAAGAATCTAGGCTTATTTATATGAAAATCTGTTTGTTAAACATATAGTTAGGATATTTAATATTTTTCCCAACATTTTGTCATCAAAGTTTCCAAACATAAAGTAAATTATGTAGTAAACACCATGTATACACCACATAGATTCCACGGTAGTGAACATCTTGCTGTATTTGCTTTATTATATGTTTTATTCATCTCTTCATTCAGTTCATTTTTTTCTTGTGTTTTTCTCAACCTTGGCAGGATTGACTTTTTTTTTTTTAAATACATTTTTATTGATTTCAGAGAGGATGGGAGAGGGAGAGACAGAAACAGCAAGGATGAGAAAGAATCATTGATCGGCTGCCTTCTGCACTCTCCACACTGGGGATGGAGCCTGCAACTCTGGCATGTGCTCTGACCAGGAATTGAGCTGTGACAACCACTGAGCCATGCCAGCTGGCCAGCACTATTGACATTTTAGGCTGGATTATTCTTCGTTGTGGGGCTGTCCTGTGCACTGTAGGATGAGTACCAGCATCTCTGGCCTCTGTCTGCTAAATGCTGTAGTACCCCACTCTCCCCCACCCCAGTTGTGAAAACCAAAAATATCTCCAGAAAGTACCCAGATGCCTCTTAGAAGTTGGGGGCAGGGCTGTGGAGAGGCAGAATCTGTCTGGGAACCACTGGCTGCAGTAATTTTCAGTAATCACTAATGTTATTTTCAGTAATATTATTTTTTAACATTAAATACCAATTGTTTGGTTGCCTAGATTTTGGTTGTTTATGTTTGCATTTCTTTTCTTTTTTTTTTGTTTAGGCATCAGTATATTTCTTTTTCTTTTTTTTAATTAAATCTTTATTGTTCAGATTATTACAGTTATTCCTCTTTTTCCCCCCATAGCTCCCCTCCACCCGGTTCCCACCCCACCCTCTGCCCTAACTCCCCCGCCCCCCCACTGTCCTCATCCATAGGTGTACGATTTTTGTCCAGTCTCTTCCCGCATCCCCCACACCTCTTCCCCCCCCTCCGAGAATAGTCAGTCCACTCCCTTTCTATGCCCCTGATTCTATTATAATCACCAGTTTATTCTGTTCATCAGATTATTTATTCACTTGATTTTTAGATTCACTTGAAAATAGATGTGTATTTGTTGTTCATAATTTGTGTCTGTACCTTTTTCTTCTTCTTCCTCTTCTTAAAGGATACCTTTCAGCATTTCATATAATACTGGTTTGGTGGTGATGAACTCCTTTAGCTTTTCCTTATCTGTGAAGCTCTTTATCTGACCTTCAATTCTGAATGATAGCTTTGCTGGATAAAGTAATCTTGGTTGTAGGTTCTTGGTATTCATCACTTTGAATATTTCTTGCCACTCCCTTCTGGCCTGCAAAGTTTCTGTTGAGAAATCAGCTGACAGTCTTATGGGTTCTCCCTTGGACTGTCTTTCTCTTGCTTTTAAGAGTCTTTGTCTTTTGCTCTTGGCATTTTAATTATGATGTGTCTTGGTGTGGTCCTCTTTGGATTCCTTTTGTTTGGGGTTCTCTGCGTTTCCTGGACTTGTAAGTCTATTTCTTTCACCAGGTAGGGGAAGTTTTCTGTCATTATTTCTTCAAATAGGTTTTCAATATCTTGCTCTCTCTCTCCTTCTGGCACCCCTATAATTTGGATGTTGGTACGCTTGAAGTTGTCCCAGAGGCTCCTTACACTATCTTCGTATTTTTGGATTCTTTTTTCATTTTGCTTTTCCGGTTGGATGTTTTTTGCTTCTTCGTATTTCAGATCTTTGACTTGATTCTTGCGATCCTCTAGTCTGCTGTTGGAAGTCTGTATAATATTCTTTATTTCAGTCAGTGTATGCTTAATTTCTAGTTGGTCCTTTTTCACAACCTCGAGGGTCTCACTAGACTTATTGAGGATCTCATTAAATTTATCGGCATTCTCACTAGATTTCTTGAGTGTCTCACTAAGTTTATCGGCAGTTTCTGGAAAATTCTTGAAAAACCTTAGAAGTGTGGTTTTGAACTCTATATCCAGTAGTTTGCTTTCCTCCATTTTTGTCATTTGTGACCTGTTTCTTTGTCTCCGCATTTTTTATGCTTCCCTGTGTTGATAGAGTGGCTTTCTGTGCTAGATGTCCTATAGGGCCCAGTGGCTCAGCCTCCCCAATTACCTGAGGTGGACACTCTTGGTGCACCCCCTTGTGGGCTGTGTGCACAGTCTTGTTGTAGTTAAGCCTTGATTGTTGTAGGTATCACTGGGAGGAATTGACCTCCAGGCCAATTGGCTGTGAGAATCAGCTGTGTCTGCAGTGGGAGAACTTCTGGGCTGGAGACAGACTTGCTTCAGTGGGGCTTTGGTGCTCACTGAGTCTGCCCCCTGAGTGTGTCCCTTATGGATCTGAGGAGTTGTAATCTGGATGGTCCCACTCTGACCACTGGGTACACTGGCTCTTGGATCGCTAAGGAGGTGCTAATTTAGCCTCTGCCTGAGGCTACCCAGCAGGAGCTCAAGCTGCTGCTGAAGGAATGCAAGCTGCTGTGGGGCCTTGGGCCAGCTGCAGTTGGATAGGTAATTTTCAGATTGCAAAGGGCCAGGCCTTTCATATGGAAAAGCCAGCACACAGTTTGGGCAGGACAGGGTCCCAGGGGATCAACAGGGCGGAGCAAGCAGCTATGGCTGCTCCTCAGTCCTGCCCTAAGAGGCCCCGCTTCTCAGTGTCCCAGTAATCGCTGCAAGCACCTCTGAGAGAAAGTCACCCTCGAGGTCCGACCCATGCCAGACAGTCTAGCCTCTCCCCATGTGAGTCTGGGTCCCCAGAGACTCGCCCAGAACTGGAGTTCAGAGCAGTCGGGAGCTTGAGAGTCCCTTCCGATTGAAAAAGACAACCGTGTCCTCAGCCTCTAGCCCTTTCCGCGTGCACCTCCATACCTCTGCACTTTGCTTCCACACCGCACCTCCTCTGAGTCTCGGTATGCTTTTCTCTTTCCTTCTAGTTGTAGAATTTCCACTCAGCCAGCCTTCCTGTGGTTCTGGATGATGTCCATTTTGTCTTTTAGTTGTATTTTTGAAGTGGTTGTGTGAGGCAGCAATTTCCGGTGTTTACCTATGCCGCCATCTTGGTTTCCTCTCTATGTTTGCATTTCTTAATATGAATCTATTAAAAGTAAAAGACATTTTCCTGCTTTATCATATCTAACAAAATAACACATTTAATATCTACTCCATATTTACATTTTTCCAGCAGTCACAAAATAATGGTTTTTGGCTGGTTTGTTTAAATAGAGTCCAGTCAGGGATTCATACATTACATTTGGTTCTCCTTTCTTAGATCTCTTTTAATCCAAAAGAGTATATTCATGCACACATGCCCACACACCTTTTCGTTGGAGTGGCTCTTTTCCTCCTTAAGTGACTTGTTGAGACTGGAGTGGCTCTATAGAATAACGCACATTATGGATCTTTCTCATTGCTTTCTTGTGATGTTTTTTAACTTATGTCAGTAAGGGAAAGTTGATCTAAAGATTTGGTTAAATCTAAATACATTAAAATAGATTTAAAAATCTATAAATTCCAACAAGTCATTTTTAGAATATTTATCGAAGAATACTACATCCAGGAAAATATGTAAGCTTGATATTTTTTCACAACCAAACACAGCTTTTGTGGCCACCACTCAGCTAAAGAAATGATGTCAGTGCCCCAGGAGCTCCCCTCATGCTTTTCAAGCCATTATCCCTCCTCCCCAAGCCTGCCACTTCCAATATTCTTTGAAGCTTAACAAACTGAAATTGCTTCATCTGATAGAGTGAGTGTATGAGTCTATTTTGAAAGAGTAATGAAGACATTTCCTTAAAGTAACAGGGGTTAGAACAGTGCTCACATAGTGGAGCAGTGTAGTGTCCAGATATCAACCAGGTGTATTTGAGGAATTTAGTGTTTGATGATGGTAGCATTTCAAACCAGTGGAGAAAATGGATGTTTTGATAAATGAGAGGAGGACAAAATAGCCAATGGGGGTGAGAGGAAGGGAAGCTGACTTTCCTTATCGCTCCAGTACCAGATAAAGTCCACATGAGTCAAAATGTAAAATGCTATTGGAATTGGACCTGTAACCATACTTCTAAGAGGATACCCTATGGAGATAATTTGCCAGGAGTAAAAAATAAAAAAAAAGTATATACTAGTAAAGTCAGAATAATTCATAGGAACCATACTGGGATCAGTTATTATTTCAGATAGGTACATAGTGTTCCTACATTTACAAGGGACAGGTTTTCATTTACTTACAAAACAAGCGAAGGGGCCAGATTTAAGTACTCTCGGTAAGTTGATAAAATGTACATCTTATGTGCACTGCCTTATTTTTCTATTTAGATGAGTTATGTGTTGAAGCACTTTGTCGGATGGAACAAGCCAATTGCTCCTTTCAGGTTTTTGAGAAACAGCCCGGAATCTATTTGTTTTTGGTCCATCCCAACGAAATGGTGAGTATGAGTGTTAGACGACGGAAGGACATATGATATTTTTGCACGTGTAGATAGCTGTATGAGAGGCTTCCATGTGTATTTTGTTTAAAATGTTTGTCAGAATACCTCTGACAGGTGCTGCTTCAGCTCAGAAGACAAAGAAGAGAGTAATGTTACCTCTTCCAGGGCAGGACCTGAGCCAGAGCAGCACTGCTCTCTCCTGCTCTTCTTGTCTGCCTGCCCCACTCCAAACACGTGGCAGTGCCAGTTACAGTGATAGAAAAGTTATTTTACTAGTAGGTGCGGGTGTGGGGAGGGGCAGGGATGGGAAGTCAGTTCCTCAGTGCTAGGAATGAGGACCAGGAATCAGAACAAACTGCGGCAGGAACCGCAGCAGAGAGCGCCAGGGTGTCGACCCTGCCATGGAGCTTGTTGCAGAGGTTTTTCTCTTGAGGTTCCTCTTTTCACTTTTCTTCCCTTTTTAAAATGTTCTGTTATGGAAAATTGCAAACGTACACAAGTAGGATGGTATAGTGAACCCCTGTATGTTCATCACTGAGCGTCAATTATCAATATATGGTTGACAGTGTGCTCCCCTTTTGGATTCATTGGAGCAAACCTGAGACACCAGAGCATTTCATCCATAAAATGCGTCAGAACATGTCTCTAAAAGATAAGGACTTGGTTGTAGGGTTATGTCCAGCTAGTTTTCAGGTGGTTCTTAAGGATGGTAATTTTATAATTTAGTTGTAATTTTGATGTGGTGGTGGTGGGAGGCGAGCATAGCATCTCCCTACACTGACATTGGGAAAAAACAAAACAATACCATCTCCATGCCTAAAATAACTATTTTTGTTGTTGTTAATTCTCACCCAAGGATATTTTTTCCATTTTTTAAAAAGTTTTTATCTTTTTACTAGAGGCCTGGTGCATTAATTTATGCACGAGTGGGGCAGCTGGCCTGCCGTAATCAGGGCTGATCTGTCTGGGCCGGCCGGGGGAGGGGCCACAGGTGATTGGCCGGCCAGTTCTGTCCCTGGTCGAACTCCCGGTCGAACTCCCAGTTGAGGGGACAATTTGTATATTAGCCTTTTATTATATAGGATTTTATTTTTTAATTTTAACTTTTTTAAAAAAATTGATTTCAGAGAAGAAAGGGGAGAGAGAGAGAGATAGAAACATCAATGATGAGAGAGAACCATTGATCGGCTGCCTCCTGCACACTCCCTATTGGGGATGTGCCCTTGACCGGAATCAAACCCAGGACCCTTCAGTACACAGGCTGATGCTCTATCTGCTGAGCCAAACCAGCTAGGACTCCATGGTTTTTTTAGAGAGTAGAAGAGAGTGGGAGAGACATAAAGAATCTTCAATGTGAGAGAGTAACATCGATTGGTTGCCTCCCACACTCGCCCAAACTGGGGCCGGGGTTGAGCCTGCAACCCAGGTATGTGCCCTTGACCAGAATTGAGCCCGTGACCCTTCGGCTCGTGGACTGGTGCTCTAACCATTGAGCAACTAACTGGCTATGGCTCTTGTGTTTAAAAACATTTTTTAATATATATATATATTTTTTAATATATTTTATTAATTTTTTACAGAGAAGAAGGGAGAGGGATAGAGAGTTAGAAACATCGATCAGCTGCCTCCTGCACACCCCCTACTGGGGACGCGCCCGCAACCAAGGTATATGCCCTTGACCAGAATCGAACCTGGGACCCTTCAGTCCGCAGGCTGACGCTCTATCCACTGAGCCAAGCCAGTTAGGGCTAAAATATATTTTTAATGATTTCAAAGAGGAAGGGAGAGAGAGATAGAAACATCAAAGATGAGAGAGAATCTTTGATTGGCTGCCCCCTGCACGCCCGCACTAGGGATCAAGCCCATGGCCAGGCATGTGCCCTTGTCTGGAATTGAACCCGGGATCCTTTAGTCTGCAGGTGACACTCTGTCCACTGAGCCAAACCAGCCAGGACTCTTTTGTCTTTTTAAAAAAATAGATATTTTTGTCTTTGTCTTATTTAAAATTGATTAGAGAGAGAGGGAAGGGAGAAGGAAAGGGAGGGAGGGTGGGAGGGAGGAAGGAAGGAAGGAATATCTATTTGTTGTCCCACTAATTTGTACATTCATGGGTTGGTTCTTGTATGCATCTTACCAGGGATTGAACCCATAACCTTGGCCTGTCTGATGACACTCTAATCAGCGGGCTACATGCCCAGGACCTAGTATTTTGTGTCTTTTAAAATCTATAGGGAATCCTATTATCTTAAGTAGGTTTTTGGTGTGTGGAGACAATTATTTGTTGAATGAAGTGACGAATATGTTGTGCTTATAGGTTCGTCGTTGGGCTATCCTAACTGCAAAAGGCTTGGGAAAAGTGGACAGAGACGATTATTATGACTTACAAGAGGTTTTGACTTGCCTTTTTAAAGTCATTGAATTGGGGCTTTTAGAAAATACAGACATTTATACTACTACTGTCCTTGAGAAGGGTAAATTGATCATCCTGCCTCCACACATGTATGACACTTCCAACTACAAAAACTATTGGTTAGGTAAGTATTGTCATTACACAAATATCCTTAGTATTTTCCTGTAGTTCTTATGAGTATCCTGCAAAGGAAGTGATCTCTTTTGATAATCTTATCAAAGTTGCTAAATACAGGATTTCATAGTTTCCAATTCTTTTGTCATTAAATTGACATAACTACACATCTTGTTTTTAAATATTTATCCTAGAAACAATCTGTATAAGAAATACATTTTCAAGTATAGCAAATATTTTATTTGAAACAATATTAGATATAAAAAATATTGATAAAGTGGTAGACTTTGATAGGGTTTGATCTAGTTTAAGAAGGTTTAATGCCTCTTTTTCCATCTGTAAAATATTTCCTGATAAGAAGAGATACTAGCTTTGGTTTTCAACAAGTTCTAAGCTGACTCAAAATAGTTCCACCCTACTTTATTGAATTTAAGTCTTTCAGTTATGAGTCCTATTTGGTAGTGGTTGGTACGTGAAATATGGTGATCTTAAAATTGAAGCCATCTTAGACATGAAATATAGATTGTGCGGTAGTCATCTTAGAAATTGTTTTCTAACCAAATTCATACCATGTTCCCGTTTTATTCTCAAATTAGTCTGAAGTCCTTTTACTTAGGAATAGATGTCTATGAAGACATCAGAGTTAAATGTTAGAGGAACTGGATTCTGCTTTGCTTCATCTTTCTGCCTTGGTATTCTTTGCCACCTGAATGAGAGGAAGCATGAGGGTGGTGCTACTTAATCCATTAAAGAAACCCGTAAACAATCTTCCAGGGATTTGCATGCTGCTGACCATTCTCGAGGAGCAAGCCATGGATTCACTGTTGTTGGGCTCAGACAAACAGAATGATTTCATGCAGTCAATACTTCACACCATGAAGAGGCAGTCAGAGGGTAAGACGCTTGCTTCGCTAAGTGCTTTTGAATGCTCTGATGGTGACGCACTTTTAAAATACTGGTGTCACTGCAAGAATTGTGTGTATAGTGTGGAGAAAAAACATTTTATGGGTTAGTTCACAGATTCAGAATCCTAAATGGGAAGGGACCTTTAGAGTTTAATTCAACACCTTTCATAAAAGAAGAGATGGAAGCCCAGGGAAGTCACTTTTTCATGTTGAAACACCCAGTTAGTGGTAGAATTAAGAGTAGACTCTATAGGAGATAAATTTCTAATGGCAACAGTTAAAATTGTAGAGAAAGTCTCCCTGTCCCACTGTTTTTCTTTTCTCCTGGTTCTTCATTTCATTTTGGTTCTCTATTGTTTCACTGTCCAACATGGTGACTGCTAGCCAAATGTGGCTGTTTAAATTACAATGAAAGTAAAAATTTAGTTTTTCAGGCCCCTCGTATTTCAGGTACTTAGCCTCATGTGCCTGGTGGCTTCTGTACTGAGCAGTCAGTACAGCTACAGAGCATGTCCATCACCACAGGACCTGCGCTGGCAGGCTGCTCAGAGAGTCTAGAAAATAGGTCTGAACCATGTAGTCATGTTTATCATCAGACCAGCTTTCTTTCGCTCATGGTTGTATCAAGGGAGGATTTGTGCTTAAGTGTTTCTAATCTTGTCTCCTTTATGAAGGACTGAATCACTAATAAAGACCACGCAGCCAGATCCTACAAAAACATTGTGAATTTAATTTTCCCACTTTGACTTCCCTTTAAGCAACCTCAGTGTGGATATAAACTCATTTGTGGGAGATTCTAAAATATTTAATGTTATTCTTTCTTGCTAGATTATTCCTAATTAAGGTTTTTATGAGTTTGTTTGCCGGCATTTACTACATAAGATGTTCATTTCTTTTTGAATGCCTTGCACATATAATTTTGTTCTCTCTGTTAATCCCGCTCCTCTAACCTTTAGAATGACACACTTCTGAAACCTTTCTTAATTGTCTTCAACTAACTGATGACATTCTTCCTTAATTTGACAGTTTACGAGACATGTGTCAGCTGTAGTAGAGCTTAAGAAAGTATATGAGCCCTAGCCGGTGTAGCTCAGTGGATAGAACGTCGGCCTGCGGACTGAAAGGTCCCAGGTTCGATTCCTGTCAAGGGCACATGCCCAGGTGCAGGCTCGATCCCTTAGTAGGGGGTGCGCAGGAGGCACCCAATCAATGATTCTCTCTCATCACTGATGTTTCTATCTCTCTCTCTCCCTCTCCCTTCCTCTCTGAAATCAATAAAAATATGTTAAAAAAAAAAAGAAAGTACATGATATGGTCTGTATGACTGACTATGATGAAAAACTAGACTCTAAGCGTCTCGAGCGCAGTAAAACTGGAGGTTCTAGGTGACTACAAAACAACAGTCACAGTCAGAGCATTTGCCTCCAAAGGAAGGGTCAGGTACTGTAGAAGATGACATGGCTGGGCAATGTGTGACATGGAGGAAGCTTTGGAGCTGGACCTGGGTGGATAGGGCTTTGAGGGGTGGTACTGGTAGTGAAGGCATTCTGGTTCTTGTTTGGGAAAAAGCCAGCTATTTGTTTGTGCTATAGCTAGGGAGTGATTATGGGGGGGGTGACAGATAAAACTGGAGAAGAACAATAGAGGAAGACTGTAAGTGCTTGACTGAGGACTTTGAATTTCCTTAGAAGACATTAAGGAGCAATTGGAGGCCCTTGAGTGGGGCAGTATCTTGCCACTGCATGTCTGATAGAGAATAGGGAAAGGACTAGAAGTTAGAGCTTGTGAGTCATGGGAATTCCTGCCACTGGAGGGAAGTAGATTCCAACAAGCCATGCTGCAGTTGGGTGGATAAAGGTTATGCGGCTTTGCTTACCCATTAGCCTTGCTGAATCCTGGGCTTTGCTTACATCTGGAAATACCAAGTTTTTCTTTCCCCTTTCTTTCCTCTACTTCTCTTGTGTGATTTAATGCAGGGAGTTCTGGGAGAAGGTGAATTGGATAGAAAAGATGGCTTCAGGTGTGGCAAATGGTGGGAAAGTTGGGTTTATCTAGACCAGTGGTCGGCAAACTGCGGCTCGCGAGCCACATGCGGTTCTTTGGCCCCTTGAATGTGGTTCTTCCACAAAATACCGACTTCTGCGCATGGGCCACGAAGTTTCAATCGCACTGTACGTGCGCGCCCGCACGTGGTATTTTGTGGAAGAGCCACACTCAAGGGGCCAAAGAGCTGCATGTGGCTCGCGAGTCGCAGTTTGCCGACCACTGACCTAGACTATATAAATTTGTTCTCCATTTAAAAAATTTTTAGAGGCGTATAGTATTGCTTGAAAAATATGCAAAAACAAATTAAAATTTTGCCAGCTTTTTTTGTTGTTAATCCTCACTGGAGGATATTTTTCCATTAATTTTAGAAAGGGGAAAGAAAAAAAACAACATTGATGTGAGAGACCCACATCAATTGGTTGCTTCCTGTACTCGGCCCAACTGGGGTAGGGAACCTGCAACTCAGGTACATGCCCTTGACCAGAGTCGAACCCGGGACCCTCAACCCTATGGTTCTCAGGCCAATCCTCTAACCATTCAGCATGCCAGCCAGAGCTTGCCAGCTTTTTAAAACCTGAAATTGGCAGTGCTTTGCTTTCAATTACTTGCTGCTTTGTTTTTAGTTTTGTTCCTACCCAGATAAAGAATGTTTAATTCTCAATATATTTTCGTATCTTTTCTAATTGTTTTCTAATTTGGCAATAACTCCATTGTATTTCAGATGATAGTGAAGATCCTTTCTGGCCAGCATTGCACTGTTTCATGGTCATTTTGGATCGCCTGGGATCTAAGGTCTGGGGTCAACTTATTGATCCTATTGAGGCCTTTCAGACCATTATCGACAATGAAAGCTACAACAGAGAGATCCAGAATATACGGAACAGCTCTGTGAGGTTAGTTCCATAGTGTGTCAGGATCTCAAAGTTATCTGTAAGGAACTCTGTTGTATCTTAACAATAGGGGTTTTCTTTCCCCCTTCATTTCTGTAATTTCTGTTTTTTCTTAATATTTAAGGGCCAAGTCAGAACCAGAGTCGTGTATGGATGATATGGTGACTTGCAGCCAGATTGTGTACAATTATAACCCTGAAAAGACCAAAAAGGTATAAAACAGTTTGAGCATTAAGATGACATTGTATAACCTTTGCATTGTAAGACCATGTTCTACATAATTAGTTGAATTGCTTATTTTATGACATGTATCTATTCTGAATCAGTTGCTGCATAAAGGCTTTATGGTTGAACCAGATGTATTGTGCACGGGAGAAATAATGGACTTTACTGCTGGGGCTGACCAGCAGACCCTGAGCAACGGATGAGTGATTACTCTGACACACGTTTCTGTGAAAGAGAGGGCTAAGGGACTGCTTGGCTAGCAAAACCAAATATCACAGACACACAAAACAGCAATCAACAGAGCCACTTTTATATACGATATTTACAGGCAGGCATAACCCACAGACAAGACTTAATAAATTAGAGTCCCTTTTGTAAATGGGCTGTTAGCTCCATTTTCTTTGGTATTTTTCCTTATCCCCTTAAAAATATTAAAGGAGATGGCTCATGAATCCTATTACCTTGCTGGTCTTGCATAACTGGGCGAGGTAAAAGCCCTCCTAACATGGCTTGCCTGACACAGGATCCCATAACTGAGGATCTAGTTGATGAACTCTCCTACAACAGTGGTGGAGGATCAGGAAATATGTCCTCTAGCGGTGGGGCTTTAGATACTACAGGCTCTATCGGCTCTACTTCAGGAGGAGGGGGTGGTGGTAGTTGCTCCTGGCGTTCTGTAGGCTTCTGATCCTCCATATGGAGTAGGCATAGTGCAGCTCGACCAAGAACCCACATTCTTCCTATATAATAAAAGCCTAATATGAAAATTGACTGAACAGCAGAATGACTGGTTGCTGTGACACACACTGACCACCAGCAGGCAGATGCTCAATGCAGGAGTTCTCCCCGGTGGTCAGTGCGCTCCCACAGGGGGAGCATTGCTCAGCCAGAGCACACCTCTCTGTGAAAGAGAGGCCTAAGGAACTGCCTGGCTATAGGAACCAAACAGCCCCATTGGCCTGTCTCTTAGGCTTTTATTGCAACAGCAGCTTGAATTAAAATTAACATTTTGATACTATCAGTAGGGTAAGCATCCTTGAGAAAGACACACATGTCTGTAGTGTCCTTTAAGCAAGGACGTCTAAAGACTAAGCATAAAGCTTCTAGTAAACACCCGGGGCTCACACGGACAGACTTGTTTGAAAAGATCAAGGCAGGGTGGTTGCCTTCAGCCAACTCCCCCTAGGGGTTCTGACCTTTTGGAGTTTCCTCCTTACAGACTTTCCAACTAAGTCCCATGCTTCCCCACAAACTACAATGTGTACACTTTGGAAAATTAATTTTTAAGTGCAGTGAGTAAGAGTGGAAAGTTTTGGGGTATGGGGGAGATAAGTAACATGACTAGAAATCAGAACCAGCTAATGGAAAGAGGGTCAGAGTACATGGAGGTGTTGTAAGTTTACCATTACATGAAACCTGCACCTCAAAATTGAACTGTATTTTCCATTTCTTGGGGTTATGTGTAAACCAAAATTGGGAAAATGAGCCATGTATTTTTTTGTTTACAACTTGTGTGCTAACATTGTCATGAATGGTGCTTGTTTGTCTGAAAGTCAGTATTTCTTTCATTTTAGGATTCAGGGTGGAGATCAGCCATTTGCCCAGATTATTGTCCTAACATGTATGAAGAAATGGAAACATTAGCCAGCGTGCTTCAGTCAGATATTGGTCAAGACATGCGTGTTCACAACAGCACATTTCTGTGGTTCATCCCTTTTGTTCAGTCCCTCATGGATCTTAATGATTTGGGTATGGCTTACATAGTAGAGGTCATCCACCATCTGTACTCCCAAGTCAAAGATGTTCTCAACCAAACAGCTGTGGTGTGTGACAAAGTCACTGAATTTTTTTTCCTAATTTTGGTGTCGGTGATTGAACTACATAGAAGTAAAAAATGTTTGCATTTGCTGTGGGTTAGCTCCCAGCAGTGGGTAGAAGCCATTGTGAAATGTGCCAAGCTTCCCACCACTGCATTTGCACGGAATTCTGAGAAGTCATCTGCCAATGGCTCCAAAGGAGCAGCAATGATAACGTCTTTGTCACTGCATTCAATGCCATCTAACTCTGTACAATTCGCTTGTGTGCAGCTCATTAGAAGTCTCCTTAAAGAAGGTTATCAGCTTGGGCAGCAGACTCTTTGTAAGCGATTCTGGGATAAGCTCAACTTATTCCTGCGAGGAAATTTATCTCTAGGTTGGCAGTTGACTAGTCAGGAAACCCACGAGTTACAAACTTGTTTAAAGCAAATTATTAGAAACATAAGATTGAAAATGCCTCAATATACTGCTTTGGCAGAGCTGGCTCCTCCATGTAAAACCCCTCCTGCCTCTAATGGTAAAGAAGAAAGTGAACAAATAGGGAGGGCATGTGAAAAAGACATCCCCTATCTGGAAAGGTGCAGCCCAACGTGTTCTAAAGAACCAGTGAAAGCTGATGTATGTCAAGTACAAGAGAGTAGTGTAGTAAGCAAAGCAAGTAACACTATAGAAGAAGGTAATGAGCAAAATTATATAAAAGATTTGAAACTAGAAGACCATCTCTCAGCTGAGTCACACTTAAAGCAGAGTAGTAAAAACCTTTCCACTGAAAGAACTCAAGATCGAGTTAAAATACACACAAAGAAGCAGAAGTCTGTAAAAGATAATTCCTCCTGTTTGAAACAGAACTGTACTTCAAGAAATGATCCAGAAGAGGGATGTGACAGAGGAGTAACTATGTCAACACATTTGTTGACTGATTCTAACACTGATTCTCTGGAAAAGGCACCCACATCAAAAGAGGATTTCTCTCTAAAGAATGATGTTCTTGGCAAAACCTCAAAAGCAAAAACTAAGGCACAGAAAAGTGACATTTGTACTGAGTTATCCCATGTAATAAAGAAGCAAAACAGGAAAAGTGCCATGGTCAAAAATACTGTGGACTTAGAGGGAGACCTGTCTATCTCTGACCGTAAGAATTTCTGTTCAAGGACAGATACTGCAGGTCAGAAAGGTGATGGCTTCATGCAGAACTTTTCTTTAGACCCTAATGATAATCTGGATCATAAAAATGAAGAACAGAAATCTCTTAACAGTTTATTGCTGAAACAGTTGAAGAATGAAGAGTTAGATGTTCCTTCTTCCCATGAAAACGATTGTCAAATACAGGAATGTCATGTTGATAATAAAGATTTTATCTCATTTACTTCCATGCCTAAAACATCTCCCTGTAAAGATCCTGTGACTTTACTTGGATCAAGTGATAAGGGGATTAACAAGAGCACTGATCCAGTTTCTTCTGACCTGAGAGAACAGGCCCCTAGCAGTCCTCAGTGTGACATCCTAACAGATTCTCAGATAGACAGAGACCTTCACACATTATCTTTAATAGCTCAAGCCCATGTCAATGAGTTTCCATTAGATTCAACTCAAAAAAGCTCATTCCAGTTACAAAGAAAAGTAAAAGATAAAAGAAGTTTCAGAGCCAACCAAAATAATGTCAGGGAAACCTGTGAACAAATTATTATTATTTCAGATTCTGATGAAGATGGTGATGAACAAACTCTAGATTCTGAGAAACACATTAAACAAGATAAAATGTGCATTGAGAAAGAATGGCCAGGGCAGGGAACTTCAAAAGCTAATATGAATGTGGACATGAAGCTAACAGAGGAAGAAAAGATAGAGGAGTTTGAGGACTCTGGCTCTCAGGTTTTTGAGTTTGAAAGCCAACAGAAAGTGTTTTCAGTTTGGCAAGATCAGAAAACAGACCATGGGAATTCAGTTCAAGAGGATGAAAAAAATTCATGTTTGACTCATATAGTAGATATCACAAACGATTGGGGTTATGATACAGATTACGCTATGTCTGAAGAAGTTACCAAAAATGAAGCAGAGGGCACTGAGCATGCAAAACCACAAAGTGATAGTTCCGTTGAGGAAGTTTGTGAAATTAAAGGAAAAAAACCCAAGAGAAAACAATTAAAAAAAATGGCTAAAGACTCTTTAAGGCCTTCTTCTTCTGTCAGAAATGAGGACCAATCTGATACTCTTAATGAGAGGGATCTAACTGAAAATGATACTAAAATTGCAGACATAAGAACATCTTCCAATTCAGGTGTTGAGAGAACCACTCTGGTCTCCCTGAAGAAGTCATCTCCAAAGAATCGAACTTACTCCAAAGTGGATCGGAGAGCCTCAGTTTCTAAAACGCCTAAGAAAACGCATTCAGATACCAAAAAAGGGCAGAATAAAGCTCCAAATTACATAAGTTGCAGGAACACTCCTGCTATTGTGCTACCAAAGAAATTTCGCCCGTGTCCTGAACCAACTTCAAAGGCTGAGAAACTTGGTCTGAAAAAGGCTCCTCGTCGGGCAGTTGTGTTGTCTCAGCAATCTTTAGACGTGATAGGTCAATTACGCAACCATGGCAAAATTGTTGGAGAAATTGGTACCCCAAAAAAGGCTAAACTAATTTCTCCTCAGACTCTCCCTGGGAACGATAAGAAACTGCTCGTGAGTCAAGATCGTCCATTTCAGAGGCAGAGGAGACCCAAATCTCATCGAAACAGACAAAGACTTAATGGCAGAGCATACACTACAAGAGCAGGACCACATGCGGCCCAGAATTCTGACAGTGTAATACCAGATATAGATAGGTCAGATGACAGTAACAAAGGAGGAACTGAGGTCATGGCAAACAGTAGTGGAGATCAGTCAATAAAATGTGTGTCTCCTGAACAAGGACATGGGAAAGAAAAATACGTTGCTCAGGTGGCTGGTGATGCTTTTCTTTTGAGCCCTTGTAGTTCCCCTGTGTTAAATGGAAGAACACCAACCAGTGAAATTACGGTCTGTACTCCAGAGGACCCTTTAGGTGGTGGCAACCTGACTGGACATCATTTAGAGGTGCCAACTTTGAAAAGGGGACAGCTTGACTCCGACAGTGATATGGAAGATGATATCTTTTTAACACAACATGATCCCGAAGATATGGACTTATGTTCACAAATGCAGAATGGTGATAATAGACTCATTGAAGAAGTCCATTGGAAAAGAGTTCATGTAGAAGATTCTGTAAATCGGCCTCAGTCAGAATCTTTGAGTAGCACAAGATGTAAGTACAAGGATTGTGTGGAAACTGTGAAAAGCCAGGGTGAGTACTGCTCAAAACACTCTGAAGCTAAAGCAGCAGATGAAGATGTCTTTCGTAAACCTGCCCTGCCTCTTTCTGCCTCTAAACCTTTGAGACCTTCCACCACAAAGATTTTTAGCTCAAGCAGTACTTCACGAATTGCTCATCTTTCCAAGTCTTTGGAAAGTGCCTCGGCATCTCCAGGCCTAAAAAATAAGTCAAATGGAGGACAGCCTGTTTCCAAAGTACCACAGCCTGCCTCTCCGTTGTCTCCAAAGCCAAGGGCTGAAGTGAAGAGTTTGTACAATATTCCTCATTCTCCAACTCCGAATAACTCCAGCAGGCAAGCTTTCAAACTCCCGCTTGGTGAGCGCAGACCTTTTTCTTCTCCAGCCAACATTTTCTTGTCATCACAGTCTATCTCTGACACCTTCATCAAAGAGGTCTTGAAATGGAAATATGAGATGTTTGCGAACTTTGACCAGTGTGGGCCCCCAACAAATCTTTGTCAGGCCATCTCAAGATCCGTGCCTGTCAGATTTCAAGATTGTGAAGATTACTTCAGTGTTTTCTTCCCTCTGGTGTTACTGAATGCCTTTGAAACAGTAAGTATGGATTTTAATTGTACTATTCAGGCGTTGAAGTTGCTTCTTTTCTTGACCCTGCTGAGCAATGGAGAGCAGTTAAAACAGCTGGTCTCAGGGTGCTGCTGTTTCTAGGTTTCACTTGAAGCAGACATCTGCCAGGTGCCGCTTGAGATGCTGGTGGCCCGGAGGTGACGTGGCCTTCGCCTCTGCCCTCTGAGCTACAGGCACAGTTCAGCTAGCCCCGGAGGACACATTTGTCAGTGCAAAGAGGCGATAGTCTTCCATCTGCTTTTTAAAAAAAATATGTTTTTATTGATTTTTAGAGAGAGGAATAGAGAATAACGTTTATCAGCCTTCTCCTGTACACCCCCTATTGGGGATTGAGCCTGCAATCCAGGCATGTGCCCTGACTGGCAATCAAACCGGTGACCTCTTGGTTCATGGGTCGATGTTCAACCAGTGAGCCACATGGCTGAGTTTTTTTTTTTAGGTAATGGAGGCCTTTACTCAAAATTCTCTTGAAGAGGTTGCAAAGGATAAATTACACTGAGCAACAAAAAACAGCAAATCCTACATTTCTCTTAGCACAATTGTCTTTCCAGTTTCTTACTCATTATAGCAATTGCTCTCTCCCTTCAGCTGCCTCCCTCCCCTCCCCAGCACATCTGGTCTGGTTCTCCCTCACTCCCTGACGAGGACTGCCTAATGAAATGCCCAAGTCCCAGTTACATTTGAACTTCAGGAAAACGACTGATGATTCTCTTGGTGTTAGCACCCAAGAACGTTGTTAGGCCTGGACGTGTGGGGTTTTGTTTGTTTGTTTTTTTTATGTGTGTGTTTTTTTGTTTGTTTAATATTTATTCTGCTTGTTCTCTGAGCTTCCTGGATCTGGAATTTGGTGTATGACATTGATTTGGGGAAACTCTCAGTCCTTATTGCTTCAAATATTTCTCTGTTTCTTCCTCTTCTGGTGTTCCCCTTACATGTCTGGTGCACTTTTGTGGTTGTCTGACAGTTCTTGGATATGCTGTTCTTTTTCCCCCAGTTTTTTACCTTTGTTTTTGAGCTTTGATAGTTCCTGTGGCTATAGCCTTGAGCTCAAACAGTCTTTCCTCAGCCAAGTCTACCAGTGAGCCCAGCCCAGGCCGCCTTCTTCTTCATTTCTGCTCCAGTGCTTTGGATCACTAACAGTTCTCTTTGATGATTCTTATCATTTATATCTCTGCTTACATTACTCACCTCTTCTTACATGGTTTACTTTTCTAGCAGACTCTTAGCATATTAACTACAGTTTTTAAAATTCCCTGGTTTGATAGTTCCAGCACCCCTGCCATATCTGACTGGTTCTGATGCTTATTCTTCAAATTGTGTTTTTGTGTATGCCTTGTAATTTTTGTGGAAAGGTGGACATGATATACTGGTGACAGGAACAGCAGTCAGTAGGCCTTCGGTAATGTGGGGAGTTGTCAGGGAGGGCAAGTGTCTGTAGTCCTGTGATCGCCCCGCCTCTGGACTGAGACTTGCGCACCTTTGGCTGTCCCTCACGTCCTTAGGTGGGACACGAAGGCTAGAGTGGGCTGAGTTGGTTATTTCTCTCCTCCCAGATGTATGAGGTTCTCACTCTACCCCAGCAGGTTAGGCTCTGGTAGAATATTTCCCCACAGAGCAGGCCTTGTTAAGAAGATCGGCATGGAATGCTCTGGTGAGTTTCAAAATGGATCCTCTCCCCCCCACCCCCACCACCCCAGCTGCTGGAAGCAAAGGGATTTCCTCCAGTATTCACTGTGAGGACCTTGTAGCGCTCCCAGTGTAAAACTCACCAAGTGTGGGCCCCTCTACTGGGCCCCCCTAGGGCCTAGAGTTTTTAACATTAGAGTTGTCCATACCAAGCCTCCAGCAACTTGTCAGTTAAAGTTCAGGTTTTCCTACCTGATGGGTTTTTACTTACGGGGTCTGCTCTGTGAGTTGTGGTTGTCTGTATCCACCTGCCTGTCCCCAGTTTTGTGGGCAGCAACCTCACTTTGCTGTTGAATGTAAGAGGAGTTGTTGATTTTTCACTTTTTTTTGCTTCTTACTTTGTTAGGATGGAATGGCAACTTCTAAGATCCTTACTGCTGACCAGGAAACTGGAATCCCCAATTAATTGTTAGTGTTTCTGTCACCTGGGATTCTAGGTTGTGGATTTTGCTGTGGCTTTGGGAAATTTTGCTGTTTAGCATTGGCTTTCCAGAATGTTTTTTGCTTTCTTCATTTGCTTTTTTTTGGTTTTGTATAGGTAGCACAGGAATGGATCAACTCTCCAAACAGAGGAAAATTCTATGAGTTGCAGTTACGAAAATTTCCTGGAGAATATAAAAAATACTGGGAGTTTGTGAGTAAGTTCTTTCTTATGTAACTTGGAACATATCACATCATAATTGGACATTTCTATTTGAGGAAGTATCACTGATTTTTCTGGAGCATAGGTTCCTTAAGATGAATTTGTAACCTCTTACAAAGAATATGTTTAAAGCCTTTTTCTTTTTTTTAAATATTTTTTAAATTGATTTTTGCAAAGAGGAAGGGAGAGGGATAGAGAGTTAGAAACATCGATGAGAGAGAAACATCGATTAGCTGCCTCCTGCACACTCCCTACTGGGTATGTGCCCGCAACCAAGGTACATGCCCTTGACCAGAATCGAACCTGGGACCCTCGAGTCCACAGGCCGACGCTCTATCCACTGAGCCAAACCAGTTAGGGCATGTTTAAAGTCTTAATGAGGATAATTACTGGGACAGTTATGAATAGAACATTTATAGTTTTAATCACTCTGTAAATAGAATACCACAGGCCAAAGTGTTCATGGAAGCTAGGAGAGAGGGTGAGTGAAGGGGGCGAAGATGGGGTGAGGGGTGCGTTGTAATAATGGTGTTTATAGATTCTGAGTAAATCTTTCTGCTGTCTATCTCTTCATTTCATGGTCAGTGTAAAACACATAATTGCATTTATGTATCAGTTAAAAATAAACGACATATTCAGAACTCTAAAATGAGAGCGTGTTGGTGAGGCACAGAGGGTGTGACTTCTCAGACCCTGCTGGGGTAGAATTCTGTACAGCAGGCATGGCATTGTCTGGCCAAGCTGAACTTAGGTATCAGTATACCCTAGACTCCGCAATCCACTTCTGGATATACGCCACAGAAATGCCCTCACAAAAACACTAAGGGACACATGAGTGATCACAGTAGATTTATGAAATGGTCCCCCAAGTCCATCCTCCTTCATAGATTCACCTAAGAAAAAAGCACATGTGTCTGTTTCGGAGGCCAGGTCCTAAATGCTCACAGTAGATTCAGGTACTATTAGCCAGCGGGAAAAAGACATCACCCACCATTCTAGTGGCTTTATACAGAGTGAGGTGAAGGTGGGTTTGAATTGGTGAGTACCGAAAGTTTATTCTTATATTATTTATTAATTACTATATTATTTTCCATACAATCAACTGTAAGCTTACTTTTGCCCCACTCTGTATACACTATCTGATTGTAAGATTCTAGATGCTGGGTATGTAGATGTTAAAAAAAACACCATAAAATTCCTGCCTTCATGAAGCTTACATTTGACTTATTTTCATTTCATATATTGTAGATGTCTTTTCAGAGTTATGAAATAATGGTAGCACGTTTAGTACTTGTGGTTATGCCATTGCAAGCATATTCCTAGTTCATTTCACCCAGCATTGCTGGTTAGATGTGGACGTTGTTTACCGTTTCTCACTATTAGAAACACTGAATGAATCTCTGTGCTGGGTCAGACAGGATGCAGCACAGTTTGAGACTTTGACTCATTGCCTCGCCTACTGAAAGGAAAATCACTTTTACTTCTGTTATTGGGTGTTAGAATGTATATCTCCCGCGTTGGCTGATTTAAACTCTTTCAGTTTTATATATGAAAATGTATCTCATTTGAGGTTGTGGGTTTTGCCCCCAGATCTTCACTGGTCATTTGTATTATTGGGGGTCGTGGGGCAGGGATAATTGTCTGTGTGTGCCCTTTGTGCTTTTTTTTCTGTTAGGGAGGTTTTCTTTTTAATTTGATGTTTTGTTGTAAATAATATTTAAATCACTAATTTATATGGCATTCATCTTGATCATATGATGGACTCACATAGTATTTACTCTTGTGTTGTACAATTCATCAATTGTGTGTGCATATTTGTTGTTGTTTTTTGCTGTGCTAATATAGGGTATCCCCCAAAAATGTATACACTCTTTGAATTATTATAAGTCAGTGTTTATTAACATACAGTTCATTTTTAAAATTTAAAAGAATCTACAGAAATAATTTTTTTTGAATTTCTTTATTGTTGAAAATATTACATATGTCCCATGAATATTTTTTTTGGTCAGCATTTGTTTTCAAACTGACCTGGTCCAGGCACTGCTGCTAATGTAAAGCAGTGGAATCATAAACATCAAGAATCATTTTGTTTGGTATTTGTGTGCCCTCAATTTGTCGACTATTGCCAGTTTTTATGTATCCCCATAAAAAAAAGTCTAGTGGCACTTTAGGATAAATTTTCTTTGTTCAAAGCTTAGTCTGGTTTCACCCATTATTTCAGATTAATTAAATGGGAAAAGAAGTGAAAATTAAGTGAGTTATCAGCTATTAAAGTGTATATACATTTTAATGGGACAGCCTGTATGTCATTGTATGACTACATCACACTGTCACTGTTGGTAGACATTTTTTCCCAGCAGGACTTTCCAAGACCATCCCCAGGTTCAATGATTTGCTGAGAGGATCAGCATATATTCATGCTTGTGGCTATGACTTAATTATGGCAAAAGGACGCAAAGCAAAATCATTAGCGGGAAAGAGAATGTGGGGTGAAGATGAGGAAACTGGGAGAAAGCTTCCAGAGTCCTTTGCCAATGGAGTCATACAGGACACACTGTTTTCCCAATCACAGTCCTGCCAGCTCAGGTGAAATCTTACCACAGGGAAGCTCATTGGCCATTCAGTGCCCACAACACCCTCTGCCCAGCCCGCATTCCTGACTTCCAGAAGGAAAGTGGATGTTTGGCGTAAACCATATTCTTTCTGCACACAGTTTAGGCACAGTGAGTGTTCCCATCAGCAAATGAAGAGAACTGTTCAAATACAAGTTCCCAGATGCCAGGGGCCCACCGTGTGAACAGCCTTCCGGAGGGTTGCAGCCTTAGGCCTGCTGGGTTAACTTCACACACAGCATTTCATGTGTAATGTTACTATGATCACTCAGTGTTTTTGTGAGGGCATTTCTGTGGCGTATATCCAGAAGTGGATTGCGGAGTCTCAGGGTACACTGATACCTAAGTTCAGTTTGGCCAGATAATGCCATGCGTGCCGTGCAGAATTCTACCCCAGCAGTGTCTGAGAAGTCACACCCTCTCTGCCTCACCAACACGTCTGTGTTGATTGCCATGTTAGTTTCACCATTTCGGTGTGTGTATTGATGACCTGTTTTATTTTGTAACTAGAGGCCCGGTGCATGAAATTCATGCACTGAGGTGGGGGGTGTCCCTCAGCCCAGCCTGCACCCTCTTCAATCTGGGACCCCTCGGGGGATGTCTGACTGCCGGTTTAGGCCCGATCCCTCTCACAATCCAGGACTACTGGCTCCCAACCACTCGCCTGCATGCCTGCCAGCCTGATCACCCTCTAACCACCCCCCCTGCCAGCCTGATCGATGCCTAACTGCTTCCCTGCCAGCCCAGTTGCCCCCAACTGCCCTCCCCTGCAGGCCTGGTCGCCCCCAACTGCCCTCCCCTGCAGGCCTGGCCACCCCCAGCTGCCCTTTCCTGCTGGCCTGGTCCCCTCAAACTGCCCTTCCTCCCCTGCAGGCCTGGTCCCCCCAAACTGCCCTCCCTCCCCTGCCAGCCTGGTCGCTCCTAACTGCCCTCCCTGCCGGCCATCTTGAGACCACATTGGGGCGGCCATCTTGTGCGAGAGCATGATGGTCAATTTGCATATTACCGCTTTATTATATAGGATAACCTTTGTAATAGTCAGTGGGATTCTCTCATAGAGTTAGTAGGTGCCTCCATAACCTCTTTGGGGAAGTGCCTTTTGCAAGCTCTTTTCCAGCTTACTTTATTTCTGTTGTCTTTTTCTTACTGGTTTGTAGGGGTTGTTTATATAATCTGATGCAAGCCATTCTGCCACCTTGGCTTGCATTTCGACTCTTAGTGATGTCTTAAAAATTCTTATTTTATTCTTTGTAAGAATTCCTTATTTTTAACATAACAAATGCGTGTGTGTGTGTGTGTGTGTGTGTGTGTTTTATGCTCTGTGCTTGCTGCAGGTCATAAAGATACTACCTTAACATCTAGAAGAGGTGTCAGCAAACTGCAGTGTGCAGATCTACCCTGTATCCTGTTTTTGTATTGCCCTAGATCAGTGGTCAGCAAACTGCAGCTCGAGAGCCACATGCGGCTCTTTGGCCCCTTGAGTGTGGCTCTTCCACAAAATACCACGTGCAGGCACGCACGTACAATGCGATTGAAACTTCGTGGCCCATGCGCAGAAGTTGGTATTTTGTGGAAGAGCCACATTCAAGGGGCCAAAGAGCCGCATGTGGCTCTCGAGCCGCAGTTTCCGACCACTGCCTAGATTAAGGTTTACATTTTAAAAGGCGTTGGGTCTGGTTTAAGGGACTGAGTTTTTCTGAAGTACCGAGGTGACTTGAGGCTGGGTGTTCATGGGAAGGCTAGTTCACTTCTGCTTCACCCTTGGGTGTGGCTCTTCATGGTCCCACCCTGAAGCAGGAGGGCTACCTGGAGCCAGCTCTGGGCAAGCCCTGGACTCCAGCCGTTGTCTTTTTTAAAAATTAGATGTGTTTTTAGAGGATGTTTATTGAAGCTGGGGACAGCGAAACAAAGGAAGGAATTAGGGCAGAGAAAGCAACAGGAGAACCTAAGTGGGGCTCTGCTGTGGCTCCCGAGAAATGTCACAGGAAAGAAGTGAGCCAGGACGGGCTGCTGTCAGCCACTGGGTCGTCAGAGAGAAAGGGGCCTTGGAGGCAGGATCGGGGTTAGCTCAGGATGAGCAGCTGCCACCTGCTTCTCCCCTGGTTGTGAGTCTTGTGGGGACCCTTAGAACTTTGGGAGAAAAGGTAAAGATACACACTGGGGAAGAAAGGCATGGGTGTTGTCTGTTTATTTCAACAAGGTCGTCCCAGGTTGACCCGGCTGCCACTCCCTGAACAGTTCAGAGTTTCTAGGGAAATGCTGGACTGACCCCTTCTGGATCTCAACAGAGTAATTCTTCATTGTTACGTTTGTTCTCTGATGCCTTCAAATAGATGCTTCTTATGTGCTGCATTTTTTTTTTAATATATATATTTTATTGATTTTTTACAGAGAGGAAGGGAGAGGGATAGAGAGTTAGAAACATCGATGAGAGAGAAACATCGACCAGCTGCCTCCTGCACACCCCCACTGGGGATGTGCCCGCAACCAAGGTACATGCCCTTGACCAGAATCGAACCTGGGACCCCCCAGTCCGCAGGCCAATGCTCAATCCACTGAGCCAAACCGGTTTGGCTGTGCTGCATTTTAAAAAGCATTTTGGTTTAGTGGTTCAGTCTGCCTCATGCCAGGACTCCATGCTTGAGTTCAGTGTGTTGTGGCTGGATTTGGCGATTGGCATTGAACATGTTTATCCTGGTGCTTGCTCTGTTTTCCCAGACCCATTTACTTTACAGCTGTTCTTTCCCCTTGTTTGAAACGCCACCAATAGGCTCAAAATTCTTATGTGGACTTGGATCTGGGTTTCCCCCTGAGGTTTTGAAAGTGGGGAACAAAAGAGATTTTATTGATTAAAAAACTAAAATAAACTTCAAGGGAAGTAAATGTATCAGCTACTTCTGAATGTTAAATGTTATGTTTTCATCTGTTTTGGCTTTTTAGCAGTTTGTAAGAAACATTTGGTGGTACTGTGTAATCAGTATTTGTAGACTACCGATCTGAAGTGTGTGGGGATCGCTGGTGCTGCCTATGCCCTGGGACTTGGCACGGGCTTTGGCTCCTGTAATTTGCCCTTAAAATAACCCGGGCGGTTTCTCTCGGGGGCACGCCCTTGCCTTCCCGTCCTCCCTGCTTCCCCAGGCCCATTATTACCTGAGCCTTGCCCTCTCCGGAGCTCCAGGGGCCCTTCTGCTTCTGCAGCTCTCTATGTGGCCAGCTGGCTCCCTTATACTACCTCTGTAGCTTTCTGAATAAAATTTCTTTTATAATTTAAAAAATAAAACAATTCTGTTAAGATAAATGCTGACCTCTTGTTCTGTAGTTTCTCTTGAGGAATGTGAACTGTCTAAACAGCTTTATCCAAAGGAGAATGACTTGGTGTTTTTGGTTCCTGAGAGACTGAAAGGAGAGAAGAGAGAGTTGGAGGGGAATTCCATCCAAGCTTCTCGTGAATATCACTGTGCTTATGTTCAGAAATTCCGCCGCACTTCAGTCAGTAAGTACCTAATGAGACACTGAAGAGAGTCCCAGCTGTGAGCTCATCCTACTTTCCCCCAAGTCGTCTTTCCCAGCTGGTTATTTGCCCCACAGTTGACCCTTGAACAACAGGTTTGAACTGCGTGGGTCCATTTATACACGGATTTTTTTTAGATACTGTAACTGTATTTTCTCTTCCTTATGGTTTTTTGTGTTTTTTCCAGATTACTTTATTTTAAGAATACAGTATAAATACATGTAACATTCAACATACGTACTAATCAACCGTGTTATAGGTAAGGTTTCTGGTCAACCAAGGGTGAAGCGCAGGGCTGTAGAGTGACCAATACTAGTGCAGTATTAATAGTTAAGTTTTTGGGAGTCCAAAGTTATACCTGGGTTTTTGATTACGAGGAGGGGGTTGGGCACGTCTAAGCCCTGTGTTGTTCAAGGGTCAGTTGTACATTCATTGGACCTCTAGGTCAGTGATGGCGAACCTCTGACACGCGTGTCAGAGGTGACACGTGAACTCATTTTTTTGGTTGATTTTTCTTTGTTAAATGGCATTTAAATATATAAAATAAATATCAAAAACATAAATCTTTGTTTTATTATGGTTGCAAATATCAAAAAATTTCTATATGTGACACGGCACCAGAGTTAAGTGAGGGTTTTTCAAAATGCTGACACGCCGGGCTCAAAAGGTTCGCCATCACTGCTCTAGGTTGATGACTTGCCATTCAGAGTCCTCTTATTTTTTCTAGACTCATCTGGAAAAGGTCCAGTATTTATTGCTCTAGTCCCGATCTTGCTGCAAGTTCTTTGCCTAGTGTGGTTTTCCCAGCCCCTGGTGTACCCCTGAGCAGAATCTATTGCTCTAGAATTATAATTTAAAAGCTTCCTTTTGAAATGTCCTCTCCTTGTGGTATATTTCTTCATCTACATTTTACTTGTTATGAAACAGACAACCTGTAAGTCACCTGTTTTTATATCTTACATCACATTTCAACCTTGTCTTTGTGGCTCATTATGAATGCGAAGACTAAACATATGACTAAATGTGAGGCACTGTGAGGGGTTTACTGTTTACATCACCCCATCTAATGGGTTGTAGGGACTTCTTTCCCTAGGGTAGTATTACAAAAAAGTTAGCTTGAATTTAATGAGCACCTACTGTGTGCCTTATCCTTCCTGTCACATTTATCATCCTCCCAAGCCCTACAAAGCAGTAAGAATTATTTGTTCCCACCTGTCAGGAAGTGAGGGTTCAGGCATGTTGAGTACTGCAGCCAAGGTCCTCCTCAGCATTAAATGTAAGTCCAGAATTGCAGCCTCCTTTTGTTTGGCTGCAAAGTGCCTGTTCTTTATTCTAGGCCAAGCTGCCTTTCTGACATTGATGCTTTCTTAGTCCCAGTGAGGAGAACATGATTTCATTATTCTTAGCCTTTTGCATCACATTTTAAAAACAGTGACTAGGCTCCTTTAAGTTCAGCATCAGGCTGCATTGTAACTGGTCATGCTTATTGTCAGTGGGACCAGAGCGCAGTTCTTGGTATAGAATGCATTTAGAAGAGCAGTAACGGGATACAGCCATGCTTCTGACTCTTGCAAATGATTACATTTGTCAAATTCATATTTCTAAAGTAGTCTATTTCCCTGAACTCTTCATGTAGCCCACCATCAGACATCTCTACATTTCAAACCTTGTCCAACATCTGCTGTTCCTTTACTAGGCAGAGCCTCTTCATCTTACACTCCACATCTAATCCATCAGCAAATCCTATCAATTCGTCCTTTGAAATGTACCCTGAACCCAGGTCCCAACTCTGCTCTTGCACCCTGGTCCATCCTGCCATTAACTTTTCTCTGGATGACTGCAGTAGCCTCCTGAGTGGCCCTTTTGCAAGTCTTTGCTTAAGTATCACCTGATCAGGAAGACCTTCCCTGACTCCTGTCTGCAGCGATCCCTACCTCACACCCTTTGGCACATCCTCATCCCCTTGCTGCTCTCTTCAGAGCACTTGCTTAGTACTGCCTGATGTGTTTATTGGTTGTCTGCCTCTCTCTGCTAAAAAAAGAAGTCTCCTGAGGAGAGGAACAATGCCAGCTCTTAGGAGGCCTTCAAGAAGTTGTTAGTGAGTGAGTTATGTAAATAACATGTCATACAAAACCATACGTTATAAAATATCCAATTCTGAGTAGCCTTTTTAACTGGACATTGTTACTCACTGGTAACTGAAATTGCTTTTTCTCTTTCTTCATACTAGTGCATAATGGGAAATATGAGTGTTCCCTTCTCATCCAGACTCAGGATAAATTCCCAGTCAATGTAAATGAAACCGTGAGATGTGTTGTAATCAGTTCTCTGGTAACTACACAAAGGAAGTTGAAAGCAATGTCTTTGTTGAATAGTCGAAACCAACTGGCCAGAGCTATTCTGAATCCAAACCCCATGGACTTCTGTACAAGAAATCTACTAACTACAACATCTGAGGGAATTGTGAGTGATGATTATATGATCACAGGGAAAGTCAGAAAGTTTTATTGTCAGGATGTGAAAGCATCGTGTTGTGGGTACCTGCTGCCTATTCCTATGTCGACAACAACACACACTTTGTGCACAAGGATGTCGTTTAGTGCTTAGTCATCTTTGGTATTGCAGAGTGTGTGTTAGTGGGTCAGCTTGCCTCCTCGGGAGAAAGGTGTACTGTAAAGAATTGGAAGTGTGCTTGAAGAGCAACATTAAAATGGGAGGTGAGCATTCTGCCTGCATGTCGTTAGGTGGTTGAAGTCCAGGCGTAGGAGAATTGAGTGTTGCAGGTGTGAAGATGAAGCTGTCATTTTGTGTGAACACATATCTCCTTGGAAGAGCTTCATATAAGTTCCAGGAAGTTAACACAGAGAAAGGCAAAAGGAACGTAATATTTTTACCCCCTCAGTGTGCTAGGGCTTTCACGGGCGTCATCTCAGTCACTTCTCACCCTTCAAGGAGCCCCAGGTCTACAAAGTCTGGGGCTAAGAGAGGTTAAGAGTTTTTTGCTTGTTTGTTTGTTTTAATATATTTTTATTGATTTCAAAGAGGAAGGGAGAGGGAGAGAGAGAGAGTAACATCAATGATGAGAGAGAATCATGGATTGGCTGCCTCCTGCATACCCTACTGGGGATCAGGCCCGCAACCCGGGCATGTGCCCTTGACAGGAATCGAACCCGAGACCCCTCAGTCCACAGGCCGACGCTCTATCCACTGGGCCAAACCAGCTAGGGCAAGAGAGGTTAAGAGTTTTAAGAGACCTAGCTTGTGAGTAAAACTGAGGTTTAGACTCAGATCTGCATCCAAGTCCATGCTCTTTCCACTGTATCACTTGGTGTGTTTTTTGTTGTTTTTTTTCTTTTTTAAAATATATTTTATTGATTTTTTTACAGAGAGGAAGGGAGAGGGATAGAGAGTTAGAAACATCATTGAGAGAGAAACATCGACCAGCTGCCTCCTGCACACTCCCTACTGGGGATGTGCCCGAAACCAAGGTACATGCCCTTGACAGGAATCGAACCTGGGACCTTTCAGTCCGCAGGCCGACGCTCTATCCACTGGGCCAAACCAGCTAGGGCAAGAGAGGTTAAGAGTTTTAAGAGACCTAGCTTATGAGTAAAACTGAGGTTTAGACTCAGATCTGCATCCAAGTCCATGCTCTTTCCACTGTATCACTTGTTTTTCTGTCTAAGGAGGGAGTTGACTACAATGGGAAGAACCAAAGAAGAAATAGCAGAGAAGTATAGAACAGCTTATTGTCATCGTCATTATAAGAATCCCAAATAAAAATACACTGTATTCAATGCTGGGCCAAAGCCTACAGACAGAGTACCTTTCTTTCCGGTAGTGAGAGTGGTTTTAGATTAAGGGTGGGCCTTGGGGGTCTTGCCCTAACATTCTCACTCCTGTCTTTTGTGTAGAATGCCTACTTAAGGGATTTCAACGACGACCAGAAGAAAGCGATAGAAACCGCGTACGCCATGGTGAAACACTCCCCGGCGGTGGCCAAGATCTGTCTGATTCATGGGCCACCTGGAACAGGGAAATCAAAAACCATCGTTGGCCTCCTGTACCGCCTGCTGACCGAGGTAGAGATGCTGGGGTCGGTGCTGTGGCTGAGGGCATGGTGCCGCTGTCCTTGAAGTAACTGACGTGTGCCTCTTCATGTCAGTGTGCCTGTGTTACTGTGTGGAACTTTATCAGAGGCGGGGGCGGGGGCGGGGGCGGGGTACGGGTAGCGGAGGGAGAGAAAGTTCTAAGAAATAAAAGGGGCAGAAAATGCTGTCTGGGTGAAACTAATCCTAAGGGCCAGAGGGTGGTCTTCTGGTTTCATTATAGGTCACATCTGCCAGGCGACCGCCTTGAGGGTCTTCCTGGCTGCATTTTGGTCATTGGATAGTGAGGTAAGGCGCAGGAGGTTGGGAGGAGAGTCAGTGCCTGAGTATTGTAATATCAGCGTAGGCTGTAGATGCTTTAGATGTGTGACCTGCTTGTAAGGGGGACTCCGAATGCGCGTGGAAATAGAGAAAAGGATGCGCTGACACATCGGGCTCATGGGTATTTTTGTTTGTTTGGTGCATGTGGCGAATTGTGGAACCAGAGGAGGGGGCAGTTGGATGAAAACTCCAACGCCAAGATCAAGCAGAACCGCGTGCTTGTGTGTGCGCCTTCCAACGCAGCCGTGGATGAGCTGATGAAAAAAATCATCCTCGAATTCAAAGAAAGGTGTAAAAACAAGAAGAATCCTCTGGGTATGATACTTACGTGGGCTGTTCATTAGTTTTTTGTTTTGTTTTCAGTGTTCCGTGTGGGCAGCTGTGAATGATAAAGAGCAGGCCCTTACTGGTGGTAACCTGTCCATGGGCTGGGCCCCTCTGTCCTTAGTAATTCTTGTAGCAAATATTGTAAGCGTTTTCTCGGTGCCCGGCACTGTGCTGAGTGCTGAGGTTTCAGCAGTGAAGCCTCCGGAAGACAGTCCCAGGAGGAAGAGGATGGAGGCGTGGGCAGTGAGAGGACCAGCTGTCAGCTCTCTAGAAGGAGGGAAATGTGGGCACTTCCTGGCAACTTCAGACGACCCTTGACTCAGTCATGTGAGGGCTCGGAAGGCTTCCAGAGGAGGTGGTGCCTAAGGTGAAACCTGAGGAGCGCGTAGGAGTTGGCCAGGGCAGGTGTGAGGGGAGGCGATGCCAGTAGAATTCCTATCGGTAAAAAGGCCCAGAGGTGCGAGAATCCAGCTTGGTCAGTACAGCCAGAACGGGGTCAGTACAGCTGGAACGGGGTCAGTACAGATTGTACGGGGTCAGTACAGATTGTACGGGGTCAGTACAGCTGGAACGGGGTCAGTACAGATTGTACAGGGTCAGTACAGCTGGAACGGGGTCAGTACAGCTGGAACGGGGTCAGTACAGATTGTACGGGGTCAGTACAGATTGTACGGGGTCAGTACAGCTGGAACGGGGTCAGTACAGATTGTACAGGGTCAGTACAGCTGGAACGGGGTCAGTACAGCCAGAACGGGGTCAGTACAGCTGGAACGGGGTCAGTACAGATTGTATGGGGTCAGTACAGCCAGAACGGGGTCAGTACAGCCGGAACGGGGTCAGTACAGCTGGAACGGGGTCAGTACAGATTGTACGGGGTCAGTACAGCCGGAACGGGGTCAGTACAGCCGGAACGGGGTCAGTACAGATTGTATGGGGTCAGTACAGCCAGAACGGGGTCAGTACAGCTGGAACGGGGTCAGTACAGATTGTATGGGGTCAGTACAGCCAGAACGGGGTCAGTACAGCCGGAACGGGGTCAGTACAGCGAACGGGGTCAGTACAGCCGGAACGGGGTCAGTACAGCCGGAACGGGGTCAGTACAGCCGGAACGGGGTCAGTACAGCTGGAATGGAGTATACTCCCCAAGGGCGAGAGTGAGTCCTTCACTGTGGTGTTCCAGTGCCTGGAACAGGGCCAGGCTGGGGCTGAGTAGATATTTAGTGCCTGGAAAGCTGGAACAGTGCTCACGGTGGCAGTGATTCTCAGAGCTGAGTATTAAATAACTGTCTCCATGCTGGAGGAGGAGAAACTGAAGGGTGAAGCGCAGGGCTGTAGAGTGCCCCAGGGTCACGTCCAGCACATCGTAGTTGATGTTGGTGAAGAGAGCAGCGCAGATGATTGAGGGCGCCTGAGTGCAGATGCTAGGTAACGCCTGCCTGCCCGCCTCATTCCCACAGCACACAGCTTGAGTGGCGGTTAGGATTAGACTTTTCCCAAGCTCATGTGTCCTGTCTTTCCTGACCAAATTTTGTTTTTCTTGAGGTTTCCCCAACAGTACCTTTTATCAGCTAGGATTAGATTTGGCTGCAAATAAGAGCAACTCTAAATACAGTGGCTTAAGTATGATAGAAGTTTCTTTCTTACTTGGGAAGTCAGAGGTCGGCAGCTCAGGACTGGTACTGGTGTTGAGTCTCAGAGACCTGGGCTCCCTCTGTCCTGCTGCTCCACTCTGTGTGGCCTCATTCCTTAGTGCACCTCATGGTCATAGATGGCTGCTCCAGCTGCAGCAATCAAATCCAGCAGCAAGTGTCCCAGGTAAAAGATGAAGAGGGGACGGAGGCACATCCTAGCCTTATTTTCAGGAAAGTTCCTAGACACTGCCAGTAGCACCTCTGCCTCCTTCCTTTTGGCCAGAACCTACTCACATGGCTGCACCCAGCTACGGAGAGCCTGGGACGTGCCATCTCTATTCGGAGGGATCAGACACGATTTTCTTTTTACCACATAGGTAGTACCTACAAATGGAATTCATTGGCTTGTCAAATTACAATACCTTGTTAGTTTGCCACTTTCCCAGCCACGGTATGTTTTTGAGGTTCATGATTTTATAGATATCACTATCAACACAGTCATTCATAACACCTGCTACGGGTATTTCATTGTAGGGGTGCACGGTGTATTCATTATCTGTTGATAGACATTTCGGTTCTCTTCCATTTTTTGTGATTTCATACTTTATTACAGTGAACATTCCTATACGTGTGGGTGTTTCTCCAACACAGGTATAGAGTGTTTACTGCAGCCACCATTGCTCAGTGGTTGAGCCCCATGAACCAGGAGATAACGGTTCAAGTCCCGGTCAGGGCACATGCCTGGGTGGCAGGCCCAATCCCCACTGTGGGTGTGCAGGAGACGGCCAATCGATGATTCTCTCTCCATCATTGATGTTTTTATCTCCCTCTCCCTTCTCTAAAATCAGTAAAGAAATATTTAATGTAAAATAAAATAAATGTCTTTAATTACTACAAGTCTATTCAAATTTTCTAGATTTGAGTGAGTTTTGCTAATTCACATTTTTAAGAAAAATTTCACTTCGTTTAGGTTTTCAAATATATTGGTGTAAAGTTGTTCCTTGTACTCTCATTTTTTAAAATCTCAGCTATATTTCTGAGGCTCACCTTTGTCATTCCCTGTAATGTATGTTTAGTCTCTACATTCACCTGTGGCACAGGCCTGATTGGAAAGTCCCAGAAGAGAAATTTCCCAGCTGAGCTGGGACAAGACAGGTTCATTCTTCTTCAGCCGCCCATTGGCTTTCTGCCGGGCTTTAAACCCAAGCCCGCCCTATAGGACGTCCGTCCTTGTTGGGAATGGTAGTTTTGCCAGTGTGGTGGTTTGTCACACTCTGTGGAGCTAAAGATTTTCATCTGCATTTTGTTGAATGTAAATGCACCTGAGCACAGAGACAGTGAGCAGCCCTCACCCTCACCCTCTGGGCAGCCACAGCAGCTCAGGGCTTTAGCTCTGCTTTTCGGCTTTCTCTTTGTTTTTCTCTTTGTTTTGGGCCTAGAGTTTGTCCTGCCTTCTTATGAACTCACCTGCAGTTTGAAGAATGTCTGTCATCTATCTCTAGGTGTTTCTAGTGAAGTAGAAAGTGAGGGGAGCAGAGTTCCAAAGCTTTGTTCTGTAGATTCTGCAGAAGAGGGTTGAGGCTCAAATAGACTGTTTAGAAATTCCCATATGTAGTGATAGAGAAAAGTCTCTATATTTTTTAAACCTCCTGTGGTTAAGAAATCTTTTTTTATCTTTAACTCACCATTGTCCAAATATATTCTACCATGGAATGTTCTAAAAAACATAATTTGAGAAACATTAGTATAATAGAATCTCAACTCTGCAATGTAGCGTGTTTTACAACCTCGCCAGCTTTCATTAAGTAGAAATGGTAAGTACTTCTAGGGCTGCTACAGAGACTGTCTAAAATAATGTGTGTGGCGCCCCAGTGGAGTCCCAGGTATCCAGTTCATTAGTTCACATTAGCTCCCTTTGTGATGAATATGATTGCTTAGAAATACACATGGTAATGGACAGGGGTTGGCAGAGTCCTCATTAATCTCTGAAGAGTGATTTTTATCAACAGGAAACTGTGGAGATATCAATTTAGTACGTGTGGGTCCAGAAAGGTCTATTAATAATGAGGTCCTAAGATTCAGTTTGGACAACCAAGTTAACCACAAAATGAGTAAGTACTGAACACGGTTCACACTAACGTTAGCTCTGGTTCCTTTTGTACAGTGGACAGTGGCTTGGGCATTGAAGGGAGTGGGGAGACCTTAGCAACAGTGTGGCTTTGACAACTAGTTTTTCTTCTTGTTACACGTGTGTGTGTGTGTGTGTGTGTGTGTGTGTGAGTGAGAGAGAGAGAGAATTGGCAGACAAGTCTTTATCTTTTTTTTTTTTTTTTTAAAGAAAAAGAAAAAGACTTACCTTCTTACGTTCAGGAGATGCATAGAAGAAAGGAACATCTAGACCATCAACTAGATGAACTTTCCCGCCAGCGTGCTTTAAGCCGATATGGAAGAGGAATCCAGGTAGCTAAACATTTCTTGCTGAATGGTTTTTAATATATCATAGATACACAAACTAGTTGATAAGTATCTGATGCCATTTTCCATTGTGGAATAGCATAATTTGCTGATAAAAATTTAGACAAAAGTGATATACCTTACAAAAAAGTTAAACTTTTTTTGGAAAGGGCAAGATAGTAAACGGCCTGGATTTTGCAGGTCTCTGTTTCAACTCCTCAGCTCTGCTGTGGTAGCACAGAAACAGCAGGAGATACGCCATCCTAAACAAAGGGGTGTGGCTATGTTCCAATAAAACTTTATTTACAAAAACAGATGGCGAGTTGAATTTGATCCACAGATTGTAGTTTGCTGTTGCCTGCCTTATACTAAAACTGCACTGAATTCATTAGGTATCTTTTGATTACAAGTTAAATTTAATCCAAGTTAAGTTAGACAAGTCCTGGCCGGGTAGCTGAGTTGGGTAGAGTGATGTCCAGATATGCTAAGGTTGCAGGTTCAATCCCTGGTCAGGGGACATGCAAGAATCCAGCCAATGAGTGTATAAATAAGTGGAACAACAAATCGATGCTTCTCTTTCTCAAATCAGTAAATAAATTTTTTTTTAAATGTAGAAAAAAGTTAAGTTAGACAAAAAACGGAATTCACTGGCACCTAGACCTGGGACATCTAGGAGTGGATTAACTTGAGCAAATGATGCCATTTCTCCACCTTGATCTGCTTGTCTGTGAGTCAGCATTTCTTCTCCCGGAGAAGACTGAGTGCCAGCATCTCTGGGCTCCACCCCAGCTCAGAAAGCCCCCTGGTGGAGAAGGCCTCCCTGCTGTTACTGGGCATCTGCTCCAACGAAGAACTTGGATTAGTCCCTGGGTGTGCAGGCAGTTCCGATCCTTGTGTTAAGGGAAAGGGTGCCATGGTTGACCAGGCCTGTATTACATGCCTGCCGCTGTGGCCAGAGGTGCTGGAGGTGTGATTGATAGTCTCACTTGAACTACCCGGAAACGAGGGAAGGAATGATAACCAAGGGTTGAGATGCTCAGAAGTAGCAGAGGTGCCATGTACTGGACCCAACGGAATCGTACATAGTGTGAAAATGATCAGGTTACCTTCCTGCTAAGTGGAGTCTGGGGTGCTGGTGGTGAGACTGTCCGCAGCAGACCATGAGAGAAGTTTATCACTCTCAGGTCCTGGAGGAGAGACACAGCACACCCTGAGGGGCCACAGGAGGTCAAGGCGGAGTGCAGACAGGGAGGCAGGACCTGGGGCACGTACGTGCCTTTATTAGGGCCTGTGTGGTGGAGTGCTTAGCAGTTCCCAGGCTAAGGCTGGATTGGTCAATTCAAACTCCCCAGGGGGGTGTTATATAAAGGATGGTCAAGGCATACAGGCCCTGGGGCAGGGGAGCCTTGATCACAAGGATGTTGGAGAAATCTACCAGGAGCTTACAGTTGCTGTGACTGGGCTACTGCTTCGGCCGGGGCTTGTATGAAGGGCCAGTGTCAGTTGAAGGTGTGCAGGCTGCTTGGCCAAACAGAAGGGGTGCGGAGGCAGCGATAGCACGGAGTAGCTTAGCCACATTCTGGATACGCAGCGATGCAGAAAGCATCAGGACCTCACTGCAAAGAGAAAACAAACGGGGTGAACCAGCTTTCGTCAAGTGCAGGCTCGCCCTTTGGAAGTGACAGTCCACTGGAAAGCATTGTAAATGCTGACTCAACTTTAAAGATGGCGTTCTCATTTTTTCCAGAGGCAAGAATTAGATGAAAAAATTGCCCAAGTTTCAAAAGAAAGGCAGGAACTTGCGTCTAAAATTAAAGAGGTAAGTAGTTTACTTATAGCATTTTCCTGGTTTTTCTTTTCTTTTTTTCATTATGACATAGTTGAGATAACCTCTGGGCTTTTATCAATTGCATTTAAAATTTTTTCCATTTTTGAGAAATGTTAAACAAATATAAAAGTGGAAATGGTGTAATTACATGTATATTTACATTTGTTTCTTTAGCCTAATAATGAGTTCTTATCACCACCTGAGATTTCTAAGAAAGAAGTGATTATAGAATATCTTTCCTTTTCTAGGTCTGGGTAAGTATTAATAAAACCTCTTGTCGGAGGCTCTACTGCACCTCCCCCCGAACTGCAGAATCAACTGGTCACTATCGCCAGATGCATAGTAAATAAAAATAAGTTTGTGGTGTTTCCCTATTAAGAAGAAAGAAAATCACACGTGTCTGAGCCCAGCGCAGTGACTGGCAGCTCCATGTTGCCTGTCAAATAGCACAGGCTTCCCGTGGGGTCAGGGAGAGGGCGTATCCACCAGCGCTGCTAGCAGTGTGTCTGAGGAGATTCTCTCTTTTTTTTTTTTAATATATTTTATTGATTTTTTACAGAGAGGAAGGGAGAGGGATAGAGAGTTAGAAACATCGATGAGAGAGAAACATCAATCAGCTGCCTCCTGCACATCTCCTACTGGGGATGTGCCTGCAACCCAGGTACATGCCCTTCACCGGAATCAAACCTGGGACCTTTCAGTCCGCAGGCCAACGCTCTATCCACTGAACCAAACCGGTTTCGGCGGAGATTCTCTCTTGAATGTATTACCAGCCTTCTCTGTGTGGTTAAGTAAATACAGTTGAATTTAATGCCTATTTCCATTAGCAATTTTTTTTTTTAATTAAAAATTACGTGGAAGCTTTTCAGAAAGATTTTAAACCGGGCCAAACTCAACTTTTCCCAAATTGAAGGATGAAGTTCATGTTTGCAGGTAGCAAGGTCTCTGCTACTCGTCACTGTTCTGTGGCTGTGGCACTTGGCTGTTTTCTCACTGATGGCTGAGAGGAGATGGGTGATGGCCTTCAGCCCAAGAGCCCTGGGGCCCACCGTTGCCCGCCCTGCCCGAGCGCACGTGGGGCCTGGGTCACGTGGGGGTCAGCAGAAAGAGGCTGACCGACTCTGATGAGAATGCTGGTTCGTGCAGTGAGCGGTGTCATTCACACTGCCTGCTTCTGCCACAGTCCCGTTGTGTCTTTGATCTGAAGTTTCTGCTGTTTTTCTAGATTGTGGTTCTCTTACATTTACTAAATATTATTCTGTCACATAATGAAGATGGGTGCTTTATAGTAAAGTTGCCCTGCCGTAGCCTAGAATTCACAAACAACTGAATGGTAATGAACCTTTGTTGTTGTCTCAGGTTCAAGGGCGCCCACAGAAAACCCAGAGCAACATCATCCTAGAGTCCCACATCATCTGCTGCACCCTGAGCACGAGCGGCGGTTTACTGCTCGAGTCCGCTTTCCGGGGGCAAGGAGGAGTCCCCTTCAGTTGTGTCATCGTTGACGAGGTCAGTGAGCGGGCGGCCGTTCAGCTTGGACTAGTGCTGTGCGGACTCTTAGACGAACAAGGGCTGCTGAGATGGCGACACAGTGGACTGCGCGTCAGATTTTACCTGCCATTACGTAGTCTTACACGTTGAAACGTGCTGCCACCGCCTCCCCATTGCTCTTCCAGTGGGGGGTTTGACAGTTCCTCACAGAGCCCTCCCGGGGACTGTCTGAGCTGCTTGGAAGAGCTCAGGCTACCTTTTGCAGCATTTGAAATGTAACTGCACAGCTCTGAGCCACTGTATTTTCTTCGTTCATTGAGCATTTGTTAGGTACCTACTGTTTGCCAGATGTAGAGCCAGAAGGCAAAAGGGATGAAAATGAGATACAGGGAATCGGTCCAGGAGGTCCCAGGTCCCTAGTCCCCAGTGCAGGCGGGCGCGATGACGTGTCAGCCAGTGGAAGAAGGCCGGGTCTTGCCATTGAAAGGCCTGCTGAGGACCAGGAGGAGGGCGGGTGGGGCCGGTCACAGACTTGCAGCCCCAGCAGGAACAAAGGACCCAAACCTGGGCAGTCCGTGGCCTGCTGGCTCATGGCTGGCTCCCAGGTGTCTGTGGTACCTGAATGGTGGCTGATTTCAAAATACATGTGTGGTCTTTATTGAGTGTTTTTGTTTCGTTGTTTTTGGCATTTGGTGCAGAAGGAGAAAGTGTGGTTCTCCTCTGAATGGTTAAAGCGTTTGTGTAGGTAAACTGCACGTGGATAAACGCAAAGGTCATTGAGCTGGTTTCTCCTGCACTTTGCTACTCAGGCCGGGCAGGCTTGTGAAGTGGAAACCCTTACCCCCCTCATCCACCGCTGCAACAAGCTGGTCCTCGTGGGAGACCCGAAGCAGCTCCCCCCCACAGTCATCTCCTTGGTGAGTCCCCTATTCCCACCCATTTAAAGTGGAAGGGCCTTTGGGGGTGGGGGAGTGGGGAGGGGGGGGAGGTCTTTGTTGGATCATCATCTCTTATTTGCAGGGAAAAGTGTTGGAAAGGCTGGGAAAAGAGAACCACCATTTGAGTCTTAAAGTATCTGACAATGTCCCTTTGTTGGTAATTGTGCTTGTGTTTGTGTGTGACAGGAGCCGCATCAGAGACCAGAGACTAGAAAGAACCTACTCCATGTGCGCTGGGCTTTTCCTTTGCAACAGGCAGAGTGCAGCTGTTTTAAGGGCCGTATCTGACTTATTTTAATAATATGAACACCAAAACCAACTTTAAAAGCAAGGAAAAGAACCCCAACCTACTGATTTATATTTAAATATGTGCAAATTTGAGGAAAATCTTACAAAGACACATTTAGAGTACATTTGCAGCTTTAGAGTTCGGTATCCTGTAGCACAAGGAAGTGCCTGTGGCCCTCACACCCCCGGGAAGGGAAGGTGACGGAAGGGCGACTGTGCTCTGTCTGGCACCAGCATCATAACCCTCCCCACCCCGCCCGCCTTGCTTCCTGCCTCACTAACGCTGGCTCCCGGAAGGGCACGCCAGGCAGGACCTAGTGACCGTTTGGGGCCATCTGAGGGGCTGGACCCCGCACATATTTCCAAGTTGTGCGGGTTCAGTGTGTGGAAGGGCCGCAGCATGGAATGAAAAGCGGTGTTGACGGGCCTCAATTTGAGTGCCTGCTTTGGTGATTGATTAAGAATAAAAATGAGGAAAATCCATTTGGGCTTTTTTTTAATTGCAAAAATAATACAGGCTTATTGAGGAAAGTTCAGAAAATAAATACGAAGTTAATTTCTTCCACCTCTTTCTACGGATAATAACTGAACAGTTGAGTATTTTAACAGATTCACTGGGCATTTGTATGCTCATTGATGCACCTTGTTCAGTCTTTACTTACTGAGGGCCGCCCTGCCCTCGTGGAGCTTGCATCCTAGCGGGGGACACACACGAAAGTTCCCGAAGGATGGTGTCAGGTGGCTGTCAGTTTTGTGTACGTCTGGACATGTGTGGGGCTTGGCCTTGTTTAAAGGTGCAGAATCACTCTGAGCCAGTTTGGTTTATTGCCAGTCAGTGAATAGACGAGAAGTATCCCCCGTGTGAGAATATGCAAATTGATGTTGTTTTGCTTTTTTCTGGCAATAGGTGTGTTGCTTCATGTAAGTCCTTTTTTTTCCCCCCCGAGAGAATATTTAAAATGAAGTTTCAGCTAATTTGTATAAATAAACTTTTGGGGATGTAAATGGAATTGCCAAACGATTACTAATATTTATTTAGTTACACAATCCTACTTAAATTCACATACGCACATCATCTATTATTTAGAAGTAATATCTTTGTCTCCACTCTCGCAGTTTGTGAAGCAGGTAAATTCAAGCTTCGCACGTACAGCTTCGATGCCCATGTCCTCACCACCACTCGGGAAGAGTTCCCCTCTTAGTGTGTTTTTCAGAGAACATTTTTGCTTCTAGATTATTTGATAAAATGCTTTTCAAATCTTGATCTGATGCTGACATTGAAAAGTATATCCAAGGTACAACCAAGATAACATGACAACAGTTTTCTTCGTTTGTCAGTGAGGTGACTGCTTTTCAGATTGTAGGTTGGAATCCATTATGGGGTGTGTGAACTCACCTTAGTCAGCCAGTGGTCTGTTTCCTTCACAAGCATGTTCTGTGAGGCTGGAGCTGGACTGCTGAGGCGGCTGAGTGTGTGGGAGGATGGTCAAAGCCATCAGTCTTTAAAAGGGCTTGTTTACAGTGACAGGAATATTTCTGTTTGTTGAGAGCATAACCCAGAAATGATTGTTAAAATCTGTGTTACATTTTTTTGCTTCTTTCATCACTGAGTCAGGTGGCCTCTGTTAGCATCAGAATAGCTTCAGTGTGGTCATTCCCAAGATCATGTCTTTTCGTGGCAGTGTGAGGGTTTCTACATGAGGAGAAGATCCTCAGCTTGCCTGGCCAACCTCCATGGCTTCTCAAGGTCAGGGTCAGAAACATCTTTCTCGCCCTGGCTGGCGTGGCTCAGTGGATAGAGCATTGGCCCGTGAACTGAAAGGTGGCAGTTTGATTCCGGTCAAGGGCACGTACCTTGGTTGCAGGCTTAATCCCCTGCCCTGGTCAGGTCATGTGCAGAAGGCAGCCAATCGATGTCTCTCTCTCACATCCATGTTTCTCTCTCTTTGGCTCTCTCATCCTCCCTTCCACTCTCTCTAAAAATCAGTGGAAAAAATATCCTCGGTTGAGGATTAACAAAAAAATAAAAAGAAAAACACAAAGTCTTTCTCTGACTGATTGTTGGGAATGGCCCGACCCTTGCCGTGTACATGTTAGAGCTCAGTGACTGTTTTAACTGGGACAAGCAAAGCGGACCCTCCCAGGTGACTGCTCAGTTCTCCCTTGCAGACGGCGCAGGACTACGGCTACGAGCAGTCGATGATGGCCCGCTTCTGCAAGCTGCTGGAGGAGAACGTGGAGCACCACGTGAGCGGCAGGCTGCCGGTGCTCCAGCTGACCGTGCAGTACAGGATGCACCCCGACATCTGTCTCTTCCCCTCCAATTACATTTACAACAAGAGCCTGAAAACCCACAAGTGGGTCCCACTGCCCGCCGGAGAGCTGGTTCTGTTTGTAGGATTTAGAAGAACTAGATTACTGTGTTGTTAAGTCTTGTCATAAAAAGTATAAATCAAAGGTTTAATGATTTTCTCTGATTATAAGTCATAGATAAGCAAAAAAGGGGGAAACCACCGATGTTTATACTACCCAGAAATAGTTACTGCTACCATTTTGGTATGTCTTCTAGTCTGTGTACTATGCACATCTTTTTTAATTTTTTTAACTAAAAATCATACCATACTCTACATAGAATTAAATGGCTTGCTCTTTTTACTTTGTGTGTGATGAGTAACTTTCCAGTTGTAATTGTTATGTTTTAATTGCACAGCTCATTCTCTCTAGCACTAGGATAGAAATAAAATGTATTGTGTACCTTTCACAAAAGCACATTTCAATTGAAGAAGATCCTTCCTGTGCCCATATTTCCCAGCCTCCTCCTCTGCCAGGAAAATGGTAATCATAAGTAAAACGCTTCCTATAACTTGACTGCTTTGAATGGGGCTGCTTTCTCGTAGAGGGACTGAGAGCACGCGGTGTTCCTCAAGCTGGCCGTTTCAGCCTTACCTCGTGTTTGACGTCGGGGACGGCTCAGAACGGCGGGAAAATGAGTATGTTCCCCCTTCTTCACTCTCAAGGGAGGTCCCATAATTGTCGCAGTATTTTTGTTCATATTTATATTTAAAACAATGTCTAATGTTGTGCGCGATCATTTTTATTTAGCCAGGTTGTGATAGCTTCTCCTTTTTAAAAATAAATTGCCAATGTCTTTCTCTGTATATTTCAGCCTTTTAATTTTAAGTGTAAAACGGGGATAATATTACCTAACATGTGGTAGGCACTTGAATAGATCCATGCCATGGCCGTAGCTCTGAGCAAGGTTATTGTGGTCTAAAAGGAAAACAGGCATCACCAGGTAATCACCGAGGTGTTCATTATGCCGTTGGCTGAAGTGTTGTGAAGGGCCAGTATAGATGCAGCTGACAGAGGGGAGGCAGCGGCTGGACCAGGCTGGACATGGGTGGGCTTGTTCAGGTGGTCTGTGCGTGACAGCAGGAAGGAGGGTGGGCGCTGATGAGGAGACGCCGGGAGGAGCCTGGGCTGCCTCTGTTAGCACCAGGGAAGCACCACCTGTACAGGATGAAGTGAGAGGACGGCAAAGTCACCTGTGTCCTGGAGCCGCGGCGCAGCCGTGTGCCGTGTCCTGGCTGAGGCTCAGGGAGTAGTCAGCAGAGGTGGAGAAGCAGGCGGCCGGGGCTTGTGGGATTGTGGAGGGAGCAGAGGGCTGAGAGCTGAGCCCTGGGAGCATTTGGGGGATGGGAGGTCACAAGAGGAATGTAGACCTGAGGTGACCAAGCAGAATAAAGATTTCAAGGATGGAAGCGACAGCTAGCTAGCGGGTTGTCTTGTGTAGCAAGTGTTGAAGTTCTGGCGGTGGGTATTTAAGGCTTTTAAAGCGACACAGGCAAGGCAGCCTCAGGAACAGAGGTGCAGGTGCAGGGGCCCCTGCACATGGCCTCTGGGGTGGGACCGAAGGAGCGTGCTGTTTGGGAAGTGAGTTGGAAGTGCAGGGTGAGGCCAGCAGGGAGGACAGTGAGGACTGGGCCACTGCAGGACCCCATGTCGTTCATCTCCAGGGGCCACGCCACTCAACTTCGTGTGGATGGCATCCTTCAGCCCTGTGGTGCCTGATTGGCACGGCCAGTGGTGGGCATTAGAGAGAGGCTGCAGCGGGAGCACGGTCCTCAGTGTCGGGAAGGTAGCCAATCTGTAGAATTAGCTTTGTTGTTATCTTCTTCGTTATACTTTTATTCTTCCTGTTCCTGTTTGAACAGATGTTTGAGAAATGGCTGCCTAAACCTCCGTTGACTTCAGACTCTCTGTGTCTCTCACAGCTTTGCTTCACCAGCAGTAGTTTTGTGTTTCCTCACATGGGCAGGGTTGCGGGTCGGTGTCGGCCTCTGAGTCCCTGCTGTCTGGGTGGTGACGACACCCGCCTGCCTCCTGTGCTGGTGGAAGCACGTGGCACTTTACAGTTAGCGGTTGGGCTGCTGCTAGGCTTTTGTTGTTGTTGTTGTTGTTTGGTTTTTGGCTGCTGTTAGTTTTGATGTGTTCTTTTTTCCGTCTTACTTAGCTCATACGTAAACATTCAAGAAATCAAACTGGTGATAGAATTGATTAAACTTCTCAGAGACAAAGGAAGGGATGTTAATTCCCGAAGCGTTGGCGTCATCACCCATTACAAGGCTCAGAAGATGAAGATGCTGAAGGAGTTGGACAAAGAATTTGAAGGAAGAGGGTGAGGCATCTGTATTTTTACAGATATTTCCAGTTTTTCTGTTTGTTTAAAGAAAGAGGGGCTAGAAGGAAAGGAAATGTGTGGGGAGTGGCAATCAGTCCAGCACAGGACACTGGGTCGGGGTGGGCCGCTGGCAGCCCTATGGACGGAGCCTCCTGCCATCAGAGGCTGGTCATCGGGAGACCTGACGGCGGGGCTGACCGCAGCTCTCGGCCTTTCCCTTTAGTTCCGGGACTGCCGGTCCGAGTTCTGACTGACAAGGTGCAGGAGGTCACATTGTCATGTTTCTGTCTCCTTTTCACCTCAGCAGTAAAATTAAAGATTAAATATTGGAAATCCATTAACTCCAAAGTGCCTTACCCTAGAAACACACAAACAACCAACATTGACTCTAGAAAAAGTAAAGAGATGGAGTTAGTGATCAAATACTTTCCAACAAAGAACTCAGGGCAGGGTTTGTAAATGGATAAATAAGTGTTGGTCCACCTATACAGTCAGATACGCAGTCGTAAAAGGAAGGACGCACTGGCACACGCTACGGCGTAGATGAGGCCGCGCACTCTCATTCCACTGACAGGAAATGTCAGTGTTGAAGAGCCTAGAGATGGACAGCAGGGTTGTGGTTGCCAGGGCCTGTGGGGGAGGGGAAATCAAGACAGGAGTTCTCTCTTGGGTGATGGCAATGTTGTGAAATTAGTGATGATGGCTACGCACCATAGTGAATGGATTTAAAAACCATTGAACAGTGTGCTTTAAAATGGTGAGTTCTGCGTTATGAGAGTCACATTTCCATAAGCACAGATCCCATGAAAAACGTTTCTGAAAAATAGTGCTCTATGAATAGGTCTGTTTAATAATCCTCTTTTCTCAGTAAACACTTCTCTTTTGCAAACAGGCTAGCAGAAGTAGATACTGTGGATGCATTTCAGGGTCGTCAGAAAGATTGTATTATTGTTACATGTGTCAGAGCAAACGCCACACAAGGCTCAATCGGGTGAGTAACTTGAGTACTTAAGTTGTGAAGTTGATCCCCTGTTGCGTTTGCTTCTCTTGATACCTTGTATATTAATTAACCCATGACGGTGTGAATCTGTTCTTTCATTTAATAAGAGTGAAATAAGTCACTGGGTCAAGTGTGTTCTGCAGGGGCTTGCTCTTCTCCCTGGGATGTGTCGTAACCTGGTTTTTCCTCATCGCTCTGTGTTTCCTGCTTTGGCCGAGTTTGTTAACCTTAACTGCGGCCAGTTGACTTAGCAGAGATGCTCGGGCACTGTGGTGGGTGTCAGAAAACTCCCCTGGGTCTCGGGCTCTGGGATTTTTCTCTTCTCATAAGTAGCAGATGAAATTTGCAGATTATAAATGTTTACTTGTTCTTAAAATACCTTAATTTCTCTCTGCCCCTGCCTAGAGGTAGTCTGCATGTACACATGGAGGAGGCCAGTTACTTCCGGACCATTTTTAAACAGTCTCTTCTTCTCCAGCTAATCTGAAATCTCAGCTTTATCGTGTATCAAGCAGTTCTGTTATTTCCCAGGTCTTTCTGACCTGTTGTTAGATTTGTCTGATGTTTGTGTGCGTCTGCCCTAGTTTCACCGTATTTTTGTAATCTCAAATTCACTTACATTTAAGAATAATTGATCTAGTATCATCTTTTTAGGATGTCTTTAAGGCTTAAAAATCATACTGTTAAAATTTGCAGCATCTCATTTAAGTCAGAATAGGAAAATTGACAGATGCATCCCTTTGAGGGAAAGCACTGGGTGTTTTGTTCACTCTTTTTAAGGGGAATTGCTTCTGTGCCAGGTGCCCTGTGTTGGGAGGAAGAGTGAGAAAGGACTGTGACTTTAAAAGTCAGAGCCCACGAAAAACTGTCTAAAATCCTCCTGTTTCACTCACTGCTATGCTGAGTCCTCTATAGAAAGAAGTAACTGTTTTCTGATCGCCTAGATTCCTGGCGAGTTTGCAGAGGTTGAACGTCGCCATTACACGAGCCAAGTACAGCCTCTTCATCCTTGGGCATCTGAGGACCCTGATGGTAGGTACATTCTTGGTGACCAGAGAACTCCAAGTCTGTCTGGCGTTACTGACAGTGGGTTGGTCGATGGTTGGTTCTGAATCTCCATCAACATGGAGGTGGTTTCGGGGACACATGGTGGCATGAAAGAATGAGCCTCTTCCCAGAGTTGCGTGTCCCCAGCAGCTTCTCCCTGGAGGCCACTCACCTGCCTCAGCCGAGGCCCAGGTTCCAGTGTCCTCTCCAGATGACCTTTGAAAAGTCTCTCTGCACCGTAGGGCGGGTAGGTGCTGAGTGACTCTCAGTCGTGAGGTGCTAGCGCTAGTCAACATGGCTGCTGTCGGCCCAGCTGCACACCACAGCGAGGGCGTTGGGGAGAGCGCCGAGCCACTGCGTCCCGGGTGGAGCTCCCTGCGCGCAGACTCTAGAAGTAGCGGCCACAGGCTCGTTTGGTAGACAAATGTGCAGCCTCCCTTGGTGACAGCACCATCAGCTAAAGCTTGTATTTGCTACTAGTCTCCGTGGGGGTGACTTTCGGTTTTCCTAATTTTCTCTAACAAAGTTTTCTTAGGCGAGATTTCCCCATTTTGGTTAGTACCACCAGAGGGCGCTCAAATGTCTTTCTCATTGAACTCTACCAGTCTTCAACGACTCTGTTGTACCCCCTTAACAGAATTTTTAAAGCTTGTACCTCCTATTCTTAAGCATCAGTGTTGCTTAAGGCACGACATTCAATCTTGAATGAAGGTGGTTTTGCCCTTTGGGGTTTGGGAGGCCCCCAAGAATTTGGTGGAAGCTCTAGTGCTTGTCTGGAACAGTGACAGGCACTCAGAAGTTGGGCCTTTCTGAAGCCAGGACTTCCGGTTCCAGGTGTCATGACCTTGTGCAAGGCTGGCAGGGCCAGACCAGTAGCCAGGGCACTTCCTGGGATGAAAGCGGAAGTGCTCTGTCTGCCGTGCCTAGCATGCTGATCGCTGGTCACGGTGCCTGCCTGAGCATGTGAGATGTGGCTGGTACACCTGAAGTCTTCTTGTATTTGATTTTAATTAGTCGACATGTAAATAACTCCCTGGGGCTGCCGTCCAGGCTGCAGCAAGTCTGCCGGGGAATGGGGTCTGGCCGACAGCGGTGGCCTTTCTAACGGGGCCGGGGCTGTGTACTGGCTTCTTTTCCTTTCAGCCTCGTCTAGCAAGTAGCAGATGCTGGAGAATCTGTTCATGAAAGTCTGCTTCTTTGTTCATAAATGAAGCTGGGCCTGCTGCTTCCCAAGCGTGTGCGTGTTTGGTGGGTGTAACTGTTTCTCCCTTCTCTTGGTTTCAAGGACAATCAGCATTGGAACCACCTGATTCAAGACGCGCAGAGGCGTGGCGCCATCATCAAGACCTGCGACAAGAACTATAAGCAGGACGCCATGAAGATCCTGAAGCTCAAGTCGGTGGTGCTGCAGCGGAGTCTGACCTACCCTCCTTCTGCAGCCCCTGAGGGCTCCAGCCCCCAGGGTGGCTCGCCGGGCAGCGACCAGAACAGGACATTGCTGAATGACTCCCTGTACCACGCATTCTTGGACGCTAAGGAGGCTGCTGATAATGTTGCTGGAAAGGACCTTGAACGGCCTCCTGTTAAGGACCAGCTTCGGGACCCACGACTGCTCAGGAGAATGGGCAGAAGTGCTGAAGCCCCAGGGAACTGCCTAAGGAACCCAGAGCCCCGGGGCCCCCAGCATTCTGAAGCAGCGCCCCCCTCAGGAGTGCCCGGCTTCCCTGTGAGTCCCCAGACACTGGACCGCGCCTTGAAGCTGTGCATGGCCACATGGAGCAGCCACAGACCTCACGTGCCGTGTGAACCTCCTGCCGCCAGCATTGACTCCACAAATGAAAGTGACCAGCAAGGGGGTCACAACCACCAGAGAGAGGCCAGGGCTGTCAGTGACAGGGACCAGGAGATGCCCAGCCCTGGGAACCATCACCTCAAGAGGAGCTCCAGCTGGGACGATGGGAGAGCCGAGGAGGAGGACAGCGGCTCGAAGAAGAGGAAGCTCTAGTAAGCGGGCGCGCGGTCAGCCGCAAGCAGACCGCAGGCAGCTACGAGGACTGTCAGCTACGATTGTTTTTTCTCAAAGGAGTTTGTGTGCTGTTGGGGAACATGGGAAATGTAACTGAACCCTGAGCCTGCTGCTCATCTTCAGTTCTTGTTGTCAGTTGCCAAAACTCCAGAGGGTGCATGTGTTAGTAATAATGCCCTGAAGTGCAGCCCTGAAGTGTTCTTCTATAAAAAGGTCAACTTTTACAAGTATTGTGAAAGTTGAAATGTATATTTGTATAGCAAATAGCCAAACCCTTTTAAAAGTTAATCTAGTTAACCACTCTTCTTCCCTTGCTTACAATGTGAGTCCTTTTCGCCAGAACAGACTTTATATTACAGAGAAGAAGAGCAGGAGAGGCGGGTTGAGCCACTATGGCAGCAGGTGTGCAATAGGCGGGCCTGGGGCAGCCGGGCGCTGCTGGCCAGTGTGTCGGGTTCTGTTTACAAAGTGAGGGCAGGACACTGGGAAACGGAGTTCTGTTCGGTCAGGTTCTGATGGACGTTTCTAGACGAGGCACCTTGGCATGGACAGGACATTTCTGGGAGGGATTCAGCCACCTTTTAGTAGGCAAAACAGCTCTCTAGCAAAAATTCGTCTCCTTCCTGAAAAAGGAGACTCGGCCATGAAATATCCTTGAATGAGCACTCAGACGCCCCAGCATATTGTGAGCTTCCTGTCACGGTGGGCTCCCACTTGAGGGTGGCCCAGGGCCAGGCTAGTGCTGGGCAGCTCTACGGACCCCTCATCCGCTTGTGAGCTTGCAGGTTGCCAAGGGTCCCAGCTGAGTGACCAGTTTAGATAGAGCCTGGAAAGCCCCATGTTATACATCCAGGGGGTGGAAGGGGTGGTTCTGGTCCCGGCAGCTTGGGAACCACGAGGGCAGGCCGGGTATAATGCAGGGTGTCCCAAAGAAATGTACACACGTAACAGCTGCTAGATGGATGTTTCCTTTTTTTCAGATGTAGCCCATTGGAATGTTTATTCAAAGTGTGTATTCATTTTTTTGGGGACACCCTGAATTTTAGGCCCGAATGAAACACCCTTTCAAAGAGGCTAGAAGAGGGTGAGAGAACTTGGAGTTGAGAACCGGGAAGAGCGGGACGTTTCCTGTGGAAAGACCCTGCTTCCGCAGCGGGAGGGCGTGCAGTGAGGGGAGTCTGAGAGACGGAGAAGCGGGTGCCGCACCTCAGTCCACTTTCCCAAACACGGACAGAAGGGATCGCAGACAGGAGCGCGCACTTAGTGGCAGCTGACCATGGCTGCAGCAGGCTGGGGGACTGCCCTGCAGCCCCCGGCTAATGGGGTAGGAAAGCAGACCCTGAGGTGAGCGCCATTAGAAGTTTTCTGGGCCTCTGCTTTAAGCAAAAAGGGCTTTGTGTTAGTCAGAAGCTCTACTGCCCCGTAGACTCCTAAGGGATCTTTAGAAAGCAGTGTGTGCTTGCACGAGTTTAAAGTCTCCTTTTTCATTGCCTGTCCTCGCTGGCGTGGTGCAGCACCCCGCCCGGGGAGCCGGTGTTCCCGGGGTTGGGACAGCTGTCCTGGCTGGGCCGCAGGAGAAGGCGCAGGGAGGGGCAGGGCCGTGGGAAGACATCTCAGTGTTACTTTAAGTTTACTCTCCTCTCCTGGTAAAACGCTCCGCTTAGCAGATACTTGGAGTGTGACAACAGTTCCGAGTCTGACAGCTCTGCAAGCTAGTGAAGGAGGCAGACAAGACTGTTGGTGAGGATTGCCACCCTCTGCCACAGCAGGCGCTGCAGAAGCAGGTGTCCCCGGGGCGTGCTTTGCTGCCGTGCCCACAGTGTTATTTCCAGTTAAGTTCGAGGCCTGTTCTCACGCGTGTTGGCTCCCCTGGTCTGACGATGCATGATGTAGTCGGAGAGCCACATGACCCTTTCCAAGGGTAAGTAAGCCTGTGCCCTGCCAGCTCTCCCGGCAGGACACAGTGTACCTGCCCTTGCCTTTGGAACCATTGGTTGTTGAGTAAAAGCATTTGCATAGAGCGTTCCGAGTGTCCGGTGTGGCTTCCTCGCTGGGCTGTCCCAGCGGTGCGAGTGGCAGCTGAGCGCAGCTGGTGGAAAGGCTGCCTGGGGGCTACACGGAAGGAAGTGCCTGTCTGCTTTCATACCAGTTGTTCCATCGTGAATACATTCTACTGACTTGGCTTTTCCATGTGTGACCTGCCTGGGGTTCACTGTGCACAGTTTATTTAGTTACATGTCTTCATGTATTAGGGGGAGAATTTTGATAAATACATGTGAATAATCTGTAAATGAGTTTTATAACCAAAATGTACCTAAACTATTTTCTAAAGTGAGTTGTGCACATTCTATTTTTTGCTGGAGCTTTGTCTTTTTCTATGCTCTGAATTCCCAGCTGGGATTTGGCAAACTTTAGGCCTGTCGTCCTTGTTAAAACCTAAGTTTTAAGAGAAAATAGAAGAATTAAAAAGTGGAAACGCAACTGGCGTGGGTTAGGAGTTCTCTGTCACTAAACTAAGGTGCAGCGTGCTTCCTGGCTGACCCGCCGGGGCTGCCGTTCGCATCGTGGTGGGACTTGTTTTATTCAAGCGTATCATCCAGCCCCATCCACTCCGGCTTCCCAGCTCTCTTTGGGATCCTGTTTGTAAGGCAGTGAGGCGCGGCTTGGCCCAGCAGGAATGCTGGCTCCCGTTAGGCTGAGAGTGGGGGACGGGGAGGGACAAGTGCACAGGCTCTCGGAGAGGAGCCCCCAGGGCACCGCCGCTGCCAGGTCAGGGCACTTGCTGCTGGGCACAGAAGTGGACCCAGGTTTATGAAAGCAGAAACTTCAGGGAGTGGAGTCGGACTGCCTGTCACTGCCCCCGGGTGAGCGCGCAGACAGCCGCGTGCACAGCTTCCCAGGAGGGCGAAGTCACGTGTTTGAGTTATGGGCACAGTAAACTCGTCAGGGAGAGGTGCGTGCCTTGCGAGGACCGTGGTGGTTGAGGACTTCGTCACAACTGAAGCGATAATTTTTTTTATGATTTTTAAATATATGTATTTTTTTATTGATTTCAGAAAGGAAGGGAGAGGGAGAGAGAAATAGAAACATCAATGATGAGAGAATCATTGATTGGCTGCCTCCTGCACACCCCCTACTGGGGATCAAGCCCACAACCCTGGCATGTGCCCTTGGCCGGAATCGAACCTGGGACCCTTCAGTCCGCAGGCCGAGGCTCAATCCACTGAGCCAAACCGGCCAGGGCGATGATGATTTTAAAGTCCCTCCTGCCCAGTTCAGGCGCAGTCCCTACCCCCTCCTAGGTATGGCCTCTCATTCGTTGTTTGTGGAATAAACAATTCAGGGAGGAAATGAAAACTTAGCCCAGCTTAAATAGAACGTACAGTGTGTGTGGCACCGTAAAGGCAGTTTCTGTGCACGGATTTCTAAAGGACCCGAGTTACTGTCCCTCCTGCACAGGACCTTGGCCAAGACAAAGGGCATGAATGGTGCCGTGGTGGCCGGGTGGTGGGAGCACAGGGCCTGGGGGCTGCTGTCCCCGCAGCCCAGCTCCGTGCTGTGCACACGGCTGCCCGTTTCCAAGCAGCACGGCTACGAACAGAATCATTAGACCGAGTGTTCAGCCCACGCTGCACTTGAGGCGTCACCGGGGAGCTTTTGAAAGCCCGCTCCTGGGCTCTAGCCTAGAATTTCTGATTTAGTGAGTCTGGAGCCCAGTGAGTTAAGGTTAGCAAGTCAGGCTAAACGGGTGACCTGGGGCCTGTGTGTGTCCAGCTGATCCTCAGGCCACTGACCGGCGCGCACTCCACAGCTCTTACCACTTTTGTGAAATAAAGCCTGTATTACAGTGTGTGCCAGACCGATGGGAGGTGAAAGGCCGACCATGAAGACACCAACGAATTCGCCACCCAGCATGAGAACTGGACGTTACTAATAGGAGCGGCCACTCCACGCCCCCCCACCTGGTTGTGACCACCATTCTGAATGGTGTAGAGCGTGGGCTCCTGCACCCCCGGGGGGAGAGGAAGTGGACAGCAGCTGGCACCGTTGACAGCAGGGGCCAGGAGTGTTGTGGGCACCACCGTGTCCGCTTGTTGAGTCCTTGCCGTCGCCCGGTGACACAGGTAGTATTTTTATGCCCCCATTTCACAGATGAGGAGACCGAGGCACAGAGAGACTGAATCACTTGCCCACGTCACCCAGGGGGTCAGACTCCAGAGTAGGTGCCCTTCACCAGCATCCCTTCTGCTTTGGGGACCACCTACCCTTTCAGAGAAAAATGTGGGCACCCGGTCAGCCATGAACTGTGGCACCAGGAACACAACAATGGAGACTCAGGGGGCCTGGCCAGATCCTGCCACACCCGAGAGCGCATGGGCCCGGCTGTGAGAAATCTGTGCCGGGAGCCAGAGTCCTGTGGCCAGCAGGGCCAGGGCTCTGGGTGGAGGAGGGGGCAGAAAACCCGAGGATGGAGTGCAGCCTGCTTTTTTTATTGTAAAAGATCTCCTTTGATGTTCAGGATAACTTGCTAAATGTTATAAAGTAGGCTGAAGAAGGGTATATATAAGACAAGCTTATTAAAAAAAATAGAGGGGGAAGGGGAATCTGTGTAACCCGGCGTTACAAGCTTGGGCTTCTGTGCCGATACTGGATTTGCAACTGGACTGTGCCTCTGTTGGGCTGTGTGACCGTGGGCAACTTGCCTCCCCTCTCTGTGCTGGATTGTGATTGTCTCTTCATGCCCTTCCTCTGGTCAGGGAGACAGTCCACCTCCCTTGATGGAGTGGGGAATGCTGGACATGTAGGGGTGGGCACAGGGTGCAGGCAGGGGTGCCAGCTGGAGGCAGGCCTGGGGACGAGGGTGGTGATAAGGCCACATCTGGGCCACAGAGACAGCGGCGGGGGCTCTCCGGCCACTGGGCAGGGTGCTGGGTGTTGCTGTGGCTTCCCAGGGCCTTCCCCTGCCTCCAGCTTCCCTGATGTGTGTGTGGGCACCCTGAGATCCTGCAAGTGATCACCTTTCTGCCTGAGTCACCTGGAGTGGCCGCTGGGTGCGGTGCCTCAGCTCTGTGACCGGGACACGAGACAGCGGCCATGTGAACGGAGCCTGCCCTCAGCTCCGGCCAGCATCCCCGGAACAAAGAAGTTAGTCCTCAGCACAAAGGCTCGCAGGGGCTCGGCACGCGGGGAGCTGGTCTGCGTGCGGTGTGCTTTATGGGGACATGCTAGAGACGTAATTCAGAAATAGTAACAGTTATTAGCTCTGGGTGGAGGATTGTGGGTGATTTTCATTTAAAAATGATCATCTCGCCTCTGTATCTCTAACTTCCCTACGGCCGTGATTTGTGTTTAAAAAGGAAAAATTAGCAAGTGAAGCTTTTCTTCCCAGAGGCCTTTTCCCTTAACTCTTCTGGCCTGAGTTGTGCTTCGAGTCCCAGAGGCATGGGGGGGGGGGGGGGGCGGGCGGGCGGTAGCCCAGCCCGAAGTGCTGGGACCTGCAGGGGTGCAGGCATGGGGTGGGCCCCCCTTCATCCCTGCCTGCTCCGACCTGGCTGACCTGCTGGGAGATGCCGACAACAGCTCCCTGGGCGCCCGTAAACCGCCTCTCAACTGGACGGCCATGGCAGGAGGCAGGAGCTGCAGACGCAGCAGTCTGCTTACTGGGGGGTGGGGTAGGGCCAGGCTGCCCTGGAGGAGCTGGGAGAAGGCCTTTCCCCTGACAGCACAGCCATTCCGATGAAGCCCGGCTCTCCAGGGCCCTCTCTGCCGCAGGGAGGGGAGGGGCAGGAGCAGTTGGGTCCCGCCCTGGGGGGTGCCCCTGTCGGGGGCACTGGTCTGGGTTAGACTCTGGGCTCTGGAGTCCGGCTGTCCGGAGTCAACTCCTGCCTCTGCTTCTTAGCAAGTGGGACTTCAGGGGAGTTCAGTCCCCTCTCCTAGCCTCCACTTCACCTTCTGTGAAATGGGTACGATACTCCGTCTGCCTAGCTCAGTGGTTCTCAACCTGGGGCAAGTTTGCTCCCAGTTTGCAACTCGTTTTGGTTATCAAATGGGGAGGAGGAACTGCTGGCAGCCAATGGCTCGAGGCCAGGGATGCTGCAAACATCCTAGAGCCACATGCGGCTTTTTGGCCCCTTGAGTGTGGCTCTTCCACAAAATACCACGAGGAGGCGCACGTACAGTGTGATTGAAACTTCGTGGCTCATGTGCAGAAGTCGGTTTTCGGCCTGGGCGAGTCTATTTTGAAGTGCTGTTGATATTTGGCTGTTGACTAATGAGTTTGCCGACCACTGGCCTAGAGGCACCGGACAGGCCCCTCCCCATATGCAGCCCGTCCATGTCAGTGGCACTAAGGCTGAGAACGCTGTCCTGGGCGAAGGTGAAGGCTAACTGCTCCCGTGCTGCGCAGCCGGCAGTAGCTGTGTTTTCCACGCTGTGAAACGGGAGCCTCCGCTGTCTCAGAACCAGAGGCAGAGCAGCTCGGGGGACAAGGGCACAGCGTGCACGAGGGCCGGGCCGAGACCTTGGGTTTTCCCCCTTCTAATCTCCGGTAGGATGTCTGGTTTCCAGAATGCCGGGGAACTCCTCCCCCTGATGGTGGGGTGCGGCAGTGTAGAACGGATGGTATAGTCCTAGGGAGGTGGACCCCCTGCCTCGTGGGGGTGTGTGTCAGTCGGGTGGCACGATAGGAGACCTGTTTGTCAAAACTGTGAGGAATTTCTTGGAA